CCTAATGTCCTCCCCCATGGCCCCCACCCCTGAGCGGTGGGTGGGGGCCCTAAATACCAATTGGGAGGGACCTAATGTCCTTCCCCCTGGCCCCCACCCCTGAGTGGTGGGTGGGGGCCCTAAATTAGAATAAGGGGGGGACCTAATGTCCTCCCCCCGGCCCCCACCCCTGAGCGGTGGGTGGGGGCCCTAAAGTAAAATGATGAGGGGGACCTATTGTCCTCCCCCCGGTCCCCACCCTTGAGCGGTGGGTGGGGGCCCTAAATACAAATAAGGGAGGGGACCTAATGTCCTCCCCCCTGTCCTCCACCCCTGAGGCTTTCAAGCCAACCAATCAGAGTGCTCTGTGTCATTTTACACAGCATGGGAAAGTTCTTTGGAATTTTCCCACGCTGTGTAATTTGACTCATAACTCTCTGATTGGTTACTTTCAATCCACCAATCAGAGAGTTATGAGCCAAATAACACAGCGTGGGGGCCCTAAATACAAATTATTTAAAATTGTATACAGTGTAACATTCTTCATTCTTCCACTGGGTAAGTATATTAGTTCTTAGGCAATACTGTGCTTCGGAACTTCGGCAACTTCGGAACTTCATCACTTCAGCATTTGGGAACTTCGACACTTCAGAAATTCGGTAATTTCGGAACTTCGGGACTTCGACAATTCGGCAATTCATCTATTCGGACATTCAGAAGTACCTGAATGTCCGAATTGCCCGAAATTCATCTGAATTCACATTCAGACCGAAAAGAATTGCACGTCTAGTTGTCACAATTAAACACAGTACATATGACAAATCACAGTGAAGGATTCTACATTTTATTTCCATTCAACATAATCATTACCCCACCAATCTGCCTGTTCTAATAATATATAATATGTTTTGATTTATTTTTCCAAGCTATGGATACATTAAAAGTAAATTTTTGCTTTGTATTTGATATCATAAATGTGAAGAATCAATTGGTTCAACAGGAAAGTAACATCAATGTAGATTTATTAACCACAGAAACACCGCAGAATATTCAACTTTTTGTCCAATAGGCCCTAATTGTGTATTTTGATTAAGGTATATTGGCCAAAGCTATTACTGTTATACATGTATTATGTTTTTGTATATAACGAAACACATGTAATGCAGTAAATTGTTCTTTAAAATATGCAAATACATTTTTAATATTTAAATTTTTATTATAACATTATATATTTGGCTCATTTCATGAATTGCACTTCAGCTCTAAATAGTCTTTTAAATGCAGATCACAAACAAAGCCAGCTTTAATGTGCCTTGTGCTAAATCTACAATAAGTGTGGTGAGTCTAAATAGCTAATCAACTTTTATACTTTTTAAATAATCATGCATTAAAATTAAATAGGGCATGTAAAATTTCAATTTATAAAGAGAACTAATTGTGTAGTAAACAGTGTAACAAAGATTTCTGCCAATCTTTAGGCTTCACAAAGGCCCTATTGTGGATTGAACCATTATCAGAACCAAAAGAAGGCTGTTGAAACTTTCAATTTTTGCACATGTGGTGTTGTATGTTTCATTATTGCTGCTACATGTATTAAATAAATAAGGGGACTATGAACTTAGCACTCAGCGATTTAAATGGAGCACCGGCTTTCTCAATATTACCCAATCCCAAAACGAGATTGACATTTGTACTTGTGACTGGTAGAAAATATTGTTTAGGCCAAATCACTTCTGCTGAAAAACTTAGAATTTCTGAATTATGGCCGTACAGCAGTTCAACTCTAATTCTGTTAACAAAAAAGATTTAGGAAAACAAATCAGACAAACCGAATAATATTTATGTATAATTATTTAAATATTATATAGTTATATTATGTATATATTTTGCAGTACATTTAGGGGTGCATTTTTCCACCATTAGTTCACAGATCACATGAGAAAAAGTAACTGATAGCAGGGAAAAGAAGAGGGGCAGTAAAAAAGAAATCTTTATTTTACATGTTTATTACTTAATATATAATGTATTTCTTTTTCTCCACAGTTGGTTATTTCTCACTGAATCTATGAATAAAATCAACATCAAGAGATTTTAGAATCCCAAATTAAAATGACCATGCTCGTCCATTGCGTGTTTTGTTAGTTCGTTATTCAGCTACATTTCGACTTACCCGATCAGCTTGAATTCAGACAAATAGTAGTTTGGAACAAAACAAATCTCCAAGTCTACTAACATGCGCTAGTCCTAGAACATAGCTATACTCACATACTTATCCAAGAATATTCCACACTCACAAATTAATCCAATAACCTCTCCATACAGACATTCTTCCATGCTCTCAGATACTGACCTATTCACAAACGCTGTGAGACATATAGGCACTCTCACAGACACCCTAAAACAAACTGTTCTAGGCACAAACTTTCAGACTTCTTAGAAACACACATATGCTCTTGGTTACTTAGAAGTACACCAACAAGGTGACGGTCACTCACAAATATGCTCAGGGTTAGTTTCACATATTCACTTATAGAGACACTAACAATCTCACTGACACGTTTGCAGACAGTTGAGAAATACAGGTCATACAGAGGATTGTAATTACGAGCACACCTGCATGCTTAATAAAAACAATTGTGAAATCGGTCATTTTGGAGTATTTTTTCTGTTGGAAACCCATGCCTCTTATCACAAATCGTTCCCATCACTCTAACTGTAACTATAGCTAAGTATATCTGAGGGATGCATGTCAAGAATCATTTTAAAAGCAAATACAACTAAAAACCAAAAAACACAAGACAATACAGACAACAAAACATTGTGCTTTATTCTTGTTAAATGTTCAGATCATAAGTGATTACAATTCACTCAAAATTTAAATTTAAACATGAGCTAAAATACTTATTTTGTTATATAGTCTACACAATGTGGAAAAGAGAAATGTCTGTGCTTGAAATAGTACAGCATGAGTAGGTTTTGTGGGTTATGCAGTTTAGCCACAATGATAGTACTAACCCTCCAATATGTTGAATGGAAATGTTGAATAGTGGTGGCTACCCTATATCTGGCTCAGAAGCAGTTAAGAGACAAGAGAGGTCCGTTCTGATGCCATAAAGCCAGGGGCATGTGCACAGCTGCAATCATGTCTCCAAATAACTGCAATTATAAGTTACAACAGTGATGCAAAGCTGCAGTGGTGCTTAAACTGATCGTTGATCATTAACTCTGCTATATTAGAACATCGAACAACATTTTAATGTTTTTGTTTTTTTGAAGGTTTACACTCTTCCAGCTTTCATCAAAAACGCAAGCAGACACAATTATTTCCAAGTCAATTCAGGAATTGTTGGGAAACTACTTCCTATGCAATTCCTGAATTAATCTACCCCAATATGGGGATAATATTTATGAACTCAGCAATAATTTGTACTAATTCAGGCACAAGTTAAGCTCAGTTTAAATGTAGGTCATTTTGTTTGGGGGGGGGAGGGGGTCCCCCTAATTAAAACTTTTCAGTGTCTCAGTATTAAACTGAAGGAAATAAATTTACATCAATCAACCTGATTTTTTAGGCAAATTAGGCAGCTGCAAAGTTGACCTTCAATTAAAGGGGCACTGTACAATGGCACTGGCCTATTTTTTCAAACATCCAATTCCAAACAATTAAAAGATAAAAACACATTCACATTTGAAATTTCTGTATTAAGAAGAAAACCCAAGAAAACTTAGCTTTGACCACTGCCCTTACTAATTTGTAGATTGACCAATCAGGAGCCTCCCATTCTGTGCTATGGAGTCTAAATGGTTAAACGTGTTTATTCCAGCACTCCAAGGGTTAAGGTGCAGATCAGGTACTAGCTGTATAACTTTTTTTTCAAAGTTTAGAAATGTGTCAATCCCTAGCCTACACATGAGATAATTCACACCTATACATCTGTCAAACTGACTGTTTATGTTCACACTATGTGGGAGTGTGGCTAAACGATATGAAAGTTTAGTGCACAGCTTCAGTTCTGCTCAGAACTGGGGTCTACGAGACCACTTCTGAAAGCTCTTAACAGAGTGGCAAACCCTCAGAAAACATTCATGTGATTCCTGATGACATGTACCACTGTACAGAGATGGCATGTTAGGCCAAATAGTCATACTGAAAAGGTGTCGTCTATTTTTCAACATGACTATTGGTAGACACCTAACAAAACTATATCTACAAAGATATTTGTAAATGAAAATTAAATTGTCAAAAAGAAATGCGATCTTATTGTTGCACTCATCTCGTCTATACTTGTTAGGTGCAGATTAAATTAAATGAGTTCTGTGTTATTTGATCAATATTATTACTATTAAATAAAATTATCTTAGGTTTTTAAGTTCACCCTTCAGTCTCACTTCGAAGCTTTGCAAAAAATGCAGAAACTCAAAATGAATATTTAATTTTTATTTTTTTAGTCTGTTTTGTTTATTGCATACGTTTTATCAACCACATTATCTCTATAATTGGTTAGCTCCAACCTAAAAGTCCTTTTAAAAGTCCCTTTAAAAGTTTTATATATATATAAATACAAAACTAGCTTTTCTGCTACTGTTCAAGTACAGTTTTGATGAGCCTTAAGCATCCTCAGCCACAGTCAGCCAATGGATTCTTAAAGATCATGAACTTTCTTGTTATATAGCAACTAAAGAGCTAGTTATGGGAAAGCCTGTTCGTTTTTCTTACAGCTATGGATGATGTAGTACAGACCGATAACAGAGCAGCAAATAATTCACAATAATATTTAACATTTTAAAGAAAGCTCTGAAATATTTACAAAGCAGGAACATGTTGTGCCAATTGTCATATAGGAGAAATGTAAGTTCACAACTAATCTTACTCATAAATATATTAAAAATTATATAATCAGTTTTAACTTTAAAACTTGTGTTATTAGATTTTCATGCAGAATAACGTTTTCATGGAAATTCGGGTAGAGAAGAACTTCAATGAACATCTTCTTTGATTAATCAAGATATTAATTCTTGCCAGTCAGTTATCCTATGATAAAAAGAACAATTTCAGAATCTGTTTATCAGTTGTTTAATGTTCACACACATACAGTGTAATATCCCAAGACACAGTATATTACAGTCACGGCATTCTCCAAACAGTACATCAATAAAAGTGATATCAGAAAAAGGAAGTAGCAAAATGCATAATTTTATTGTTTAACAAAAAAAACACATATACACTAGCCAGGGATAGGCAACCTTGGACTACATCCCCCAATACTGTTCTTACACCCATAATGCTGGCAAAGCATCATGGGAGGTATAGTTCAAAATATCTAGAGTTCCGAAGGTTCCCTATGCCTGCGCTAGTGTATCGCCAAAGGTGGTGCCACTTTGCTGTCTTGATCCATTTTGGTCCATTCACTAAAGAGTGAGTTGTGTTTGACAATAAACATTTAATGGTTAGGCTGAAAAAAACTCAAATCCACTGATTAGTAACGAAACTCCTTAGCAATTTCCTTAACTACGCAAGTATTACCGTATATACTCGAGTATAAGCCGACCCGAATATAAACCGAGGCACCTAATTTTACTACAAAAACTGGGAAATCTTATTGACTCGAGTACAAGCCTAGGGTGGGAAATGCAGCAGCTATTGGTAAATTTAAAAAATAAAAATAGATAACAATAAAATTACATTAATTGAGGCATCAGTAGGTTAAATGTTTTTGAATATTTATTGACAGTGTGTGTATATAATGAATGCAGTGTGTGTGTGTGTTTATGCAGTGTGTGTGTGTGTGTGTGTGTGTATAATGAATGAAAAGTTTGTGTAGTGTGTGTGTATTTTAATGAATGCAGAGTGTGTGTTTGTGTAGTGTGTACAGGCCCGGACTGGCCATCGGGCATACCAGACAAATGCCCGGTGGGCCGTGATGGCCGTGGGGCCGAGGCCGGCAAGGGATCTCTCCGGCCGGCCTCTGCAGGGCCAGCGCTATCCGAGCGCCGGCCCTGCTGTGTGCCTCCATGGGCCGGTTGGGAGATCAAAGATCTCCCTTTACCGGCCCACAGGCATTTATAACCGGCCGCCAGCAGGAGAGGGAGGGAGGCAAGAGAGAGGACCTGGCAGAGCTCTAACAAGCAGCTCCGCCGGGTCCTTTTCGCGGGATTCTGAGCGTTGCCGCGGTTACCACGGCAACGCTCAGATCTCGCGAGAGTGAACTCTAACCCGCAGGTTAGAGTTCACTCTCACCACTGGACCACCAGGGAAGGCAGCATGGCTCCCCTCATGGCACCCCTGGCAGAACGGATCTCCTCCCCCTCTCCCAGGATAAAGGTAAGAAGGGAGGGGGGGGATATAATTTATTTTATTTTTTTTATTAATAAAAAAAATATATATTTAAATTTAAATTAAAAATACATTCACTCACACACTCACACACACAGCACCCCCCAGACACACACAGCATCCAGACACACACACACACAGCACACTCCCACACATATGTGTGTTTTAAGGCATTTTGGGGGGTTTGCATAAATGTGTGTTTTTTGTGTTTGGAGATAATTGAGTTTAATATAGTGCTTGGCTCAATTATCTCCCAGGCATAGGGGAGGGATTGACATATTTTGTATAGGAGTGTCCTGGACCTGAGAGCCAATGTGATTGTGTATTTGTTTCTACTGTGGTTTACTTTCAAACTGTCTTAAAAGGCCAGTTGTGGTTACCATTAAACGAGATTCATTTAACCCTTCATGAAGTCCAAGCTCATGTTTGGGGGAGTTATATTCACACTCTGGGGATTGCTGTGATCACTATACTCCCTTGGATCACAACACTTGCTCTTATAAGAGTAGCCTGATTCACTCTCTGGACCAAGAGAGGTCTACCCACTGGAAGCTGGATCCTGGTCTTGGATACACGGTGGGTGGAGGACAGCAAGACCCCAACCAAGCTGTGGCGATTTGTGGGGTTTACGGTGGTTATGGTGTTCCAGTGTAGTTCTTATGGTGCTCGCAAGTACTAGGAAGCAGGGATTAACGGAGGTACCCGGTCGGGGTGCCTGATGGTCCGTCACAAGCATCAATTATCTTTGACTTCCCTTCAGCACCAAATACAGCCATCTCATATCATAAAAGAATGGACATGAGTAAACCTTCAATGGCTAGCACTGAATTTGATGATGCTGAGACAGTAACTTTCCTACCAGGGCTAATTTGAGTTCTTCTGCATGGCAGATGGGGATTTAACACCTTAAGGACTACAAGTTGTGATCAAAACAAAACTTGAACAAAACCTTGAATTTGCGCTATATGTCTCTTTGGGCGTAATTCACCTCTTTCATATTATGTGCACCCACACTTATCATATATCATTTTGTTCAAGAGAAACAGGGCCTTCATGTCACATCAAATATTTGTATATTAAACATAATTTAATATGAATAAAATATAAATAAAATAGAATTATTATTTATTTATTTTTTTAGTGCTGCATGGCATTTTAACTGTGAATGTCACAATACTGTTAGCTGTTATTGCAATAAAATACACATATTTGTATTCAGCGATGTCTCACGGGTAAAACAGTACCCCCAATGTACAGGTTGTATGGTGTTTTGGAAAGTTACAGGGTCAAATATAGCACATTACATTTTTCAGTTTATACACAATGAAATTTGTCAGACTGGTTGTGTTGCCTTTGAGACCATATGGTAGCCCAGGAAGGAAAATTATGCCAATGAAGGCATACCATTTACAAAAGTAGACAACCGAAGGTGTTACACACGGGTATGTACAGTCTTTTCTAGTAGTCACTTAATCACAAACACTGGCCAAAGTTAGCCTTCATATTTGTTTGTGTGTAAAAAATGCAAAAAACAAAATTGAACTCTAACATTGGCCAGTGTTTGTGACTAAGTGGCTACTAGAAAAGACTGGATATACCCCATTTGTAATACCTTTTGCAAATGGTATGCCATCATGGGGATAACTTTCATTCCTGGGCTACCATACGGTCTCAAAGGCAACACAACCAGTCTGACAAATTTCAATGTGAAAAGAAGGAAATTCAAGCCTTATATTTGACTCTGTAACTTCGACACCATAAATCCTGTACATGGGGGGTACTGTTATACTCGGGAGAGTTCACCAAACACAAATATTAGTGTTTCAAAATAGTAAAATGTATCACAACTATTATATCATCAGTGAAAGTACCATTTGTGTGTGAAAAATGCAAAAAGCTGTATTTTTACTGACGATATCGTCGTTGTGATGTGTTTTACTGTTACTGTTTTACTGTTTAAACGCAAAAATATTTTTGTACAGTGAAATCTCCTGAGTAAAACAGTACCCCCACGTACAAGTTTTATGGTGTCCTGGAAAGTTACAGGGTTAAATATAGTTCTTGCGAGCCAAATTCTCTGGACTTTCTGCCTGGGTTGTCGGGCAAGTCCCTCAGATTGTAATTAATAAATTTATAAATATATTTGTAGAATTTAAATATATATGTACATATGTATACATATATATATATAATTTTTTAATAATTTTTATTTATATATAGCCATATATATACATATATGTATTTATAATGTCATTCTAAATGTATTTGAAATGTAATATATATATGTGTATATATATATTAATATCAAAATACAGTTAGAACAAATTAAAACTGGTATATTATTTTTGTATTTTTTCAATATATTTATTGATTATTTTTATTTTATATATAATAATCATATATATATATATATAATTTTTTAATAATTTGTATTTATATATAGCTATATATATACATATATGTATTTATAATGTCATTATAAATGTATTTGAAATTTTATATATATATATATATATATATGTGTGTATATATATATTATCAAAATACAGTTAGAACAAATTAAAACTGATATATCATTTTTAAATGTATTTTTATAATTAATTTTTTACATTTTTGCAATGTATTTATTGATTATTTTTATTTTATATATAATAATCATATATATATAACATCATTTTAAGTGTATTTTAATATTAATATATAGATAATTATATATATTAAAATACACTTTTATTAAGTATGTATGTGTATATAAAAGTACTTAGACCAAATATATGATCTAAGTACTTTTTATTTAATTTAAGAACTCTTTAATAACTTTTTCTAACTTTTTACAGGCATGAGGGTGACAACCTGAGAGCTCAGGCAGTCCCCCTGCAGGCACAGCATAAGCCGTCTATTCCGGCCATGTGATCGCGAGGACTCCACAAGGGGATCTGCCTGAGCTCCCAGGCAGACACCAGGATCGCAACCGCCGACCCCAGGATGGCAGGGACCGAATAAGTACAAAGGACGGTGGGGACGTTCTATGCCGCTTGCCGGCATTTAGGACCACCTAAAACGGATGGCATAGAATGCCTGCCATCCTTAAGGGGTTAAAAAAATAAAAAGAAAGTGTTTTCTCCTGCAAAAAAAAACAAAACAACTTAGGTAAAAACACCTGACATTTTGCCCCCTCTTCTTACCCCTTTTGTGTGGGGTTAGAGGTAAGAGACAAACCAGGTTGAGACTTTCTTCGAAAGGGAGAATAGGGACCAAGTGGCCCATAAAGCACAGTTTTCTCTTAGGAGAATCTGCAGGACAAGAAGGCACCAATTTGGCCAGATCAGCAAAATGGTGCTTTAGGGTGATATAGGTTACTATGTAACATTTGATTGTGTGTTCAGTTTAACAGGGGTTGCTTCCACTCTTATCGCTATTAATTTTTGTATGTCATTTACATCTTGTCAATTATCCCCTTTCTTTATTTTAAAGCACTGCAGAATATGTTGGTGCTATATAAATGCTAGTAATAGTAATAAATAATAATAATGAGCCTGCAGGAAAAACAAAAATACAGATATAAATTGAGTAGAAATGTACTACATAGGCACTGAGATGAAAATTATGTCATGGGCTCTGGCATTCTAAATATGTAGTTTAATAAAATAAGAACTGTAGCTGCACGTATAAGCCCGAGGAGCATCCTTTGATTTCCAATAGAGGGCAGCATTCATCTAGTCATCAACATTACATTAGCTCATATGCTACTTTTCAGCTAATGTTCCATTTATGGTATTTATTCATTTGGATTCTCCATATTAATTGTATAATAATTGTACTTTGTATTTTTATTACATTTCAGTTTCCATTGTATGTTGTTTAAGTTGGTTTAATTTTTTTTTCTTGTACAGTATTCATTTTATATTATGGTAAATAGCATAGATGGATAATTGTGAATTATTTATAACATCTTAACCAATGTCCCAGAGCTTAGAGATTTCATTCAGGTAATCTATGTTCAATATGTACAATATAACAAGTTAAAAAAACGAGGTGCAAGAGAGTACTGAGAACGGACAACAGCTCAAATGGCCTGCCCTTCGGTGGGTCCCTGCTCAGGTCTCAAGCTGATTTTAGCTTATATTGTGCCATTATAAAAAGAACTAGGATGTGCATATCAGACTGAACCCACCAAAAATGGTGGTCCAGATATGAAATGCAGGCCGCCTCTCTTTACATGAGACAAATAGAAACCCCAGACAATTGTTTCATCCTTGTTAGACTTGGTCAGTGAGGAATAACGGATACCCCTATAGGCACCGTGTTCAAGGGTCCATGTCTGTGTTACCCTTTAAACTTGGAGAGAGCAAAACCACAAAGTTCAAGCTAACTTACAAACTCTGAACAGTCCATCCTGTTGATAATCTACAACTAACCGAAGGGTTTGCATTACCTTGTGATATGTTTGGTGTATTCCTTTCTACTGGGTATTGGAGGGGAGTGGCAATCCCCTGATCTGGTTTTTGATATGCAGAAATAAGATTCTGTACTTTTCTGAACATTCTTCGTGGTACACCTGGGGCAGCCTGTAAAATACACCAGTTTAAATTAACACAGTAATTAACTATCATCTGTACTCTATCATTTTAACTTTTTAAAGCATCTCCTGTACATTGTCCTGATTAGGTTTCAATCTCATTATTTATATCAAATTGTTATACATTTACAGGGTTAGTTACGCAAGCAAGAATTGCCATGAATTCAAAGTAAATTTCAAATTTAAAGCCAAAATAGACGAAATGGAAACAGAATTAATTTGGAGAGGTTTTCTAATTCAGCTATTTTGGCCTAAATTTTGAAATTCACTTTGAATTCCCAGCAATTTTTACTTAAGTGAATAATCCTGTTCGTAAAATGTTTTAAGCACATGTGTGTTTAGAAAACACTACATACAATAAATATAGATAAGGTTACTAGTACATATGTTAGTGGAGGTTACACTCCTGCAAATTATGAAACACCAGAAATGGGATTACATAGACCATTTGTTAGCCTCTTTGTGGTTTTTCATATTTTAAAAGGTTTCAAGCTAACGTTTGTTTTTTGGTTTAACAAAATAAATTTTTATTGATTTTATTTCGTTTTTGGAAAACAGAATTTTCAATACATGGTCCTAAAGCTTAGTTTAAAATCGGGTTTGGTGGTCAGGGCCTTGTAGCCACCAGGAGGGGTTAAGGTCCATGGGAGCTGGAATCACCATATCCTTTCTGGTTGGTAGGTTATTTTAATAGTGCTAGATGGCTCAGAGAATTCTCAGAAGGTATCTGGTACTATTGGTATTAGGGTTCGGGGACTTAGGCATTCCTTAGCCGTGTGATCTTTGAGTTAGGGTCTTGAGGAACATATTAAACTTCAACCTACATTTTAAAACTTCAACCTACAACCTCATGAATGAAGAGGTAGAGGCAATTCATCAAGTTCCTTCTCGACATTGATTACTAACCACCCACCCACCACATATGATATAGAGAAATGGGTGTTAAACTGGGAACCCCATAAAAAAAAAACCCATTCAATAAATGGTGACTTATTTTGGCACTACTTTGTTATCAACTAGAACACTGACATCATCCTTGGGGAATTCCCAGTAATATTAGTCACTATGTAGCTATCAATCAGACACTTTTTGCCCTGCTTGTATGCTTCTTTTTTTTATAATCTATTTGTCTTTATGTAAAAAAACTACTCTTACTCTTACCATCACCACCACACTATCACGTTTGTGTTTTTTAATTTTTTTTTTATTGTGTATGCCTTACATCTCGGCAGCATATACATTTGCTGTTAGGAAATCTAAATTGTACATGGATAAGCTGTCAGCTAACGGATCTACTGTTGTATCTTCATGAACAACAATTAAAAGGCAACTTGTGCATCAGTGAAAATGAACGTCTACATTGGGAAAAGAGTATTTAACATTATGGAGGTAACACCAAGTGACACTTAAAAAATGAGGGTGTAGAGTCTTACAAGAGTGCACCCATCATATGACAGATATTTAATGCATACTGTTATAATTATGTTTTCAGTGAAAATAATAAATAGGCACATGAAAATGAAAATCATACGTGTTTCATTTAGTAGACATCACACTTATTCTGATAAAATAAAAAATATCACTTATTAGGTAGGGCATTACTTCATCTATCAATTCACCACTTAAAATTACCCTAAAATATGAAATGATTATTAGTCCACAATCTTACAGATTAGATCATAGTTGCTATGTGTATACAGGCAATCCAGTTATGATTTATGGTTTTATTTGTATTAACTCTTCCTACGTCTATTCCTCTTATGGTTACCCTTTTGCCTCAGTTTTACTTTCCCCCTCCACACCTTTGAGGCTTAACCCAGTATTCTGTACAAATCATGGACGACTGTGGTTTCTGCGTGCCTTTTGCTTGACTCACATAGTTCCTGTGTACCTTATCTTTGACCCAGATATTTACCATTTTCTCTGTCATTTTTTTTTTGCTTTGTGCAGCTATCTTGTATTGTACCTTTCCAATGTTTCTTTTATTTGCACCCATCAACCATTTCATTCCCCCTTCCTCAAATGCCATTTTATTGAACCCTGTGCCCATTATGAGTGCCTTTTCCCTGAGTGCCATTATTTTGTTTATTCTGTCCATTTCGTACTCCCCCACTTTTTTGTATTGTGCATATAATGTAATTTGTTTCTATGTTGTGGCTCTCCTGAACATCTGTGTTCATTAGTGTGTTTTTTCCCTGCTTCCTCTAGAACCTCTTTCTCTTTTAACCTAATCAAAAATATTTCCTGAAACAGCTACCTCCTTCTGTCCTTCAGCCAGGATGTTTTCACAGTTGATACTGGCGTTTCACATTAATTTGTGATTTTGGGGTATACTTGTGTACATACATGTTCATGTTGATACATTGTTCAATGTGTTAAATAAAAGAGAGAGTTGTAGCCATTTATACATTATTCACTTCCAATTAAAGCTTTTTGTACCAAATCTTTCACCACTGGTTGCATTTAGGCTAGCTTTACCATCTGCAGACCTACTCACTAAACTATGAAATGATGGGAATTCACAAGGAAATGCAAGTTTAAAGCTAAAGTTTGCTACAAAATCTGAGCTAAACTCCCTAAAATGGAACAAAAAACAATATACTACTATCTTGAGCTGAACAAATACCTGGACATATAGATTAAGCATTTTCCCATTTAGTTATTTTGACTGCAGTTGGCATGGTTGGCTGCCAACATCAGCTGCCACTGAAGGAGATATAAAGACAGAAGAAAAATATCATACTCTTACTGATTTGCAAGCATGTAAACTAATATTGTAATAGTCATGATAAACATGTTTAGTTTGTAAAAATTTGCTTAATGGAACACTGAAGTTGTTATGGTGCCAAGAGTCCCCTGGATGCACTATTACCTTAAGGGATTGAACTGCTCTTGACCGGTTTAACTCAAATGTTTGCCTCCAACGCCGATCAACAGATCCTCCAAGCGATATCTGGCTTATGAATTTCAGTTACAAAAAGAGCAGAATGCAGCTTGAGAACGGTTTAACCCCCTAAGGTAAGAGTGTGTCCATGCGCCTACTGGCACCATAACAACTTAATTTAGATTAAGTTGTTATGGTGACCAGAATGTCCCTTTAAAGTGTCAAATACTCATAAAACCAGCAAACACAATACAAATAGCCAAAAGCACAGTGTCAATAATTACGATAGCCTCTGGTGACCCAAACTGATGGGTATGATTAATAGGTATTCATTGACTACATTCTTAAAGATAATAATGGATGGGCGAGTGGATGGATGGATGGTTGTATGGATGGATCGTACTTGCGAGGTACAAAGAGAGAATATCAATGGAAATCAATAGGCTAGTTTTCTTTGAAAGCACACAGTATTCTTAACATTGGATACATTCAATTGAAAATGGCAGAGTACTACATGAAACTGTCAAATACAGAAACAATATATTCACGTTGTACTTTTAGGAAAAATATTAATTGATTATAAAATAAACAAAGAACACTTACTTCTGCTGTCCATGAACCAGTTGTTGTTTGATGAACTCTGTAGGTATATATTAAATCCTTGTGCCTATAAATAAAGTGAGATCAACTAATGAAAGTGTTTCCAAAGAAATAAATGCCCTAAATGTTGTCTCTTATATTTTCAAATCTGTGAAATATTTTTTTATAGTGTACCCATCAAATCTGTGTAACCATAAAGACTATGTTTATTTATTTATTACTGGCATTTGTAAAGCGCCAACATATTCCGCAGCGCTGTACAGTTGGGAAAGACAACACAATAAGAACAGACCGATACAACAGGTAGAGGGCCCTGCCCATGAGCTTACAATCTAAAGGGTAAACTGGGGAGATAAGACAAGAGGTAGCAGAGAGAGTTAACAGAATAGCTGCAGCAGCTGATAGCATGTGAAGGGAAAGAGGTGGTGATTGGCTGTGGTTCCAAACAGCTGGAAGAGCATGCTATATAATTAGAAGGAACGAGTGTAGGTGGGTAGAGCCGAGTAAAATGAAAAGGCCTTGATGCAGGGATGGATGGTGATTAAGTTGTATATTTTATTACTCCTTCAACACTTTTAAAAATAATTTGTTAAACCTGTTCACACTACAGATGGGCAAAAACTCTGTTTGCGCTATACAGCAAGTGTTTGTTTTTGTTATTGATCCAATAATTATCTGTTTGCAGCAAGTTTTTCTCTTTACTGGGATGTCAACTGGAGACTAACTGAGCCTACTTTTCTACCATTCGTGAGGAATATTTTAAAATATCTGGGATGTCAAACATTTTCTTCATAACCGCATTAGCTTCGTCTTTGTACTGAAAATATAGCTAATCATTATTTATCATGTAGGGAGTAATTACGTACAAAGCAAATTTGATGGATCACCAAACAGATTTAAACATTTAGGCCAAACCTTACTTGAAACCTAAATTAACTTAGCTGAATCTAAAAATCTGTCAGTATGTTACAGCCAAGGGGTTGTAAGGGAGCGGGGGCAATATCTTCCTAAGCAACAAGCATTCATGGTTTGGGGGCTGCAGGCTCACAGAAATAATCTTCTAAATTTAAAAGTGGCAGGATGTGTGAGGAGAAGTATACCTGCCGAAAAGAGGCAGCAGGCAGTATTTGGGGTTGCAGGGCTGTCAGACTATACTGAGCATATAATTTGGAGTTGTTGGCAAGTAGCTGTGAAATCAAATGACATGTTGGTGTAAAGTCACAAGAAACAGCTGAACACTCATTCACATTCATGTACACATGTCTATGAATGATCCTTTATGCTGTAGTGTCGATACTAGTGAAACGGTGACTTAAATGCAATAGTCATGCATAGCAAGTCAGTAATGTTTCTGCATTTGAATTGCAATGTCATTATTAACAGCAATGTAAAGATCTTCACTGATGACAGAGGGAATAAGGCCTAGGGAGAGTGTAGATTCAGTTAGGGGAAGGTGACAGGAGGGTGGTCAGAGTAGTTTTTGTAATCATAGTTACAGTCCTGAGCATTTGTGCCTTTAAGATTCTGTGGACTATAACTCACATGGTTCTTTGGCTAGTGATTAAAATTGCAGTCCAAACATCTTAAAATAAGTTACCCCTAAGTATAGTTTCTCCTTAACCCATGCCTCTGAAGTCTAAGTAACCCTATGTATCCCTCACAAGCACTCAACATTAGCCCATTAACAAGCATAATAGCACAAACTTCTAGTGTAGTTATAAATCTTAAGATTTAAATGGCCGTGATTTTCAAGTGAATAATGTTAAGATTGGTGCAATTTACTATAAAATCACAATTCAATAATGAATCATTTAAAAACATATGTCAATAAAGGCTTCCAGGCTGTGTCACGTGGCTGTAGCCTAGAATTAGAACAGCCCAGAAAAATAGCGTACATGTGTTTCAACTCTAAGAATTCTACCAAATGCAATTAGAACGAATTTATTATGTGAGCTTTTTAAAAAAAATCTTAATTGAAGAATTTGTTAGAGCTCAATAAATGACATAACAATTGTTAAAATCTGAGAATCTTCTAGCTTCAAAGCATTGAAAGATATATATATATATATCTATACACAGGAAATACAGATCTACTGTAACTGTTATCACTTTTTATACATGGCATGGAAATGTTTGTTTCATCAACCCATCATGCATACTAACAATAATTTAAGAGAAGTGCTTATTTGGCAGACACGATCAGTCATAAGCCTTAATTTATTTGTAATTGACTTTCCTTATCCTTATTTCACTTGGTTTATTCTAAATATTTATATGCATAAATGCTTCCTGATAATAACAGACAAGTTTGATGAGACATCAGCAAACAAAATTGATCCTTATTATGTGACCCATGATCTTCCAGAAATGAACAGTTTTGGCCTGAATTTTGCCAGTTGGAGGAAAACTCCACACTGCTTTCTTGTTTTGGAAAGAACAAGAAAGTGGAAAAGGACACAAGCAGAGGCTTAACTAAAAATCACTGGGCCCTGGGTCTATCATTCATTTGTCAGATCCCCCTCCAGGTGACTCATTCCCCCCCATCCAGCTTCTCCCAGAGTCTTATTCACCCAGCCACTTCATGTGTCATTCTCCCCCCTCAGTCCCTTCATCTATCTCATTCTTCCCCATGCCCTCCATGTGACTCATTCTCCTTCCCACACCCTCCAATTGTCTCTCCCACCCCCCATGTATATCTCCCTCACTCCCCTCACCTCCAGGTAGCATGGCCAAGAGGACTGTGGTACCCGGTCAGTGATCACTTCCTGTTAGGTAGGTCACGCTACATACGGCAGCAGAAGGGGGTGCAGCACAGCTCTCCCCTTCTACGATTCACCCAACAACCGCGCGCCCTGGGCCGGTGTGGACGTACACCAGCCCTGAAGTTATGGTGGCCCTCGGTTGCAGGGGTCTGCGGCCAGGCCCCATGGAATGATGGGCAACCATGATAGTTATGCCACTCGACACAACAGTGATGTGGAATATTTTGGTATTTTATAAATATCAATAATTATACTAATTGAAATTATACTTAACAAAGAACTAACCACACTTCTTATGCAACATAGTTTTAATTTATGATATGTGGTTTTGGATCACATTACATAACTTAACTAGTTCTTCATTTTGCATTGTTGGAATTCTAGCGACGTACGGTTTAACAGTTGAGCAGGATGCTTGTGTGTAAATTCAGAGTGTGTAGAAACAGACTGTTTGTAGAGACAGCTTGTGTGTAGAAACAGACTGTAATGTGGTTGGGTAACGGAACAGATCTTATCTCTGTAAAACAACTTGAAATTATCAGCTCTTGCAAAAACTCCAGTTTTTTTTCACACGTTCATACTAAAATATTTTGTTTTTACATTACTTTCAGTTAAGGTGACATTAAGTAACTTAATGAACTTGAACTTTTAACACTATAACCCACCTCCTGTGAAGTGGGCACTTATTCATATTACTGGGTACAATGATATGACCTATTTTTTCTTCCTTCCTTTAGTTGGCACCTTCCCCCTTACTCCATTGTGAATTATATTTTGGGTTCTTCTTTTAAACAAGTTTCTATTACGTTAGCGCTTAGATGCAGTGATTAAAGAGATACTGTAGTGCCAGGAATACAAAACGGTATTCCTGGCACTACTGATTCCTCTGCCTACCCTTCCCGCACCCCCCCCCCATCTCCTTTATTTACTTACTTTATCCCAGCACCAATGTCCTTTGGCTCTGGTTTCAGGCTCTGGTTTCAAGCTCTGAACCCTCCTCCGTCCCGCGCACTTAATAGACCTCCCCACAGGAAAGCATTGAATCAATGCTTTCCTATGGGGAAAATCTGATGCTGAAAGTCCTCATGCAGAGCCTGAGGACATCCAGCATCAGACAACGGACCAAAAGTCTGATTGGATTCTGGAAGCCCTCTAGTGGTTGTCTGGTAGACATTCACTGAGGGCAGACTTAGTGCTACAATGTAAACAGACTTAGTGCTGTAATGTTTTTACAAAAGACATCTGCTAAGAATTCATATTATATTTATATTTAACTTTAAGCATATGATATACCGTATATACTTGAGTATAAGTCGACCCGAATATAAGTCAAGACCCCTAATTTTACCCCAAAAAACTGGGAAAACTTAATGACTTGAGTATAAGACTATGGTGGGAAATATTATATTATTATTTAAATTTGTATTTATTTATTTTTGTCACCCCTCCCTGCTTGTTAGCTGGCCAGGGAGGGGGGCTCTCATTCCCTGGTGGTCCAGTGGCATTGGCTGTGTAGGAGGGGGACTGGCAGAAAGCTGTTACTTACCTTTCCTGCAGTTCCTGTCAGCTCCCTTCTCTCCCCTCCGGTCCGATCAGCTCCCTTCTCCTCCGGTGTAAGTCTCGCGGTGTGACTGCCTTATTCACCCGTGGCAACGCTCTGACCCCATGGCTCTCACAAGACTTACACTGGAGGAGAAGGGAGCTAACCGGATCGGAGGAGAGAGAAGGGAGCTGGCAGGAGCTGCAGGAAAGGTAAGTAACAGCTCTCTGCCAGCCCCCAACAGAACTGCCGGGCTTGTAATGAGCCCGGCAGTCCTTGTCTGTATTATGGCAATGTAAGTTGCCATAATACAGACACTCACTCGAGTATAAGATGAGTGGGGGTTTTTCAACACAAAAATTGTGCTGAAAAACTCGTCTTATATTCGAGTACATGGCAGAAATAATGAAATGTATATAAATATCTGCATGTACAATTTGTTTCATTTGTAGGCACCACAAGAAAAAAACAGAGCTCCTCTCTCTCCAACCTCATATCTGACAATCTTATGCAGCAGGGGAATGTGAGGGTTCACCATTTATAAAAAAAAATGTATGTGTCTGTACATGTGATACATGTATATATGGGTGTCTATGAGCTTGTAAAGGACAGTGATACCTTCAAGGTAATGCGTTCAGGAGCAGATTCACTTGTGTGTGACTTAGTTGGTATAGTTGAATAAAACTAATATCTAGAACACTGGATGATAACTTCACCAAAATGTATGGTGTGTATACCTTTAAATCTGCTACAGGCAGATTCTGTTTGGTACACACCAAATAATCTGCTTGATACAAAGCAGTTTCTAAGTACAGAATAACCATATAAAAACCGGTTACCTGTTGAGTTTTTAGTTTACACACTATTTTATATGGTGTGTGTATCGATTTAAGTGATCCATTGGGAGACTAAATAGTGCACAAAACAGTATTGAACTTTCAGTAAGGAGATATGTAGAACTCCGTAATTGCTGTATTTAATATAATACAGTCACTTGAAATGCAAATAAGCAAAAAAATACAAATAAAAAATTGAAAAAAACACTATTGAGAAAAGAATATTAAAAATGATAATGTAGAAATTTATTCACAATACAAAAATCATAAAAGAATAATCCAAAATTGGAATAAAAATACAAATACAAAAAATAGGAGCCAGGAACGGTTAGCAAGTCTTTAGCCAATGCAGATTTTGCACAACTGACTTCATACACACTGTAACTGTTAAGGATTACAGTGGATACTGTTGTATCAGAACGAAAAGAAATTACTTGCCGGCTGCTGGGGAGGTTGGCGTGCGTGCCAAACCTCACTCTGATTCTTAGATGCTTGGCAGTCCGTCAGGCCCCAGGTCGTAAGTGCCGTATGGGGGAAGGAGAGAATTGCTTCTGCTGGCGTCTGGCTGCTCTATTGTATCCTGCTCACTATCACTATCACAGGATACGATATATTTTAGTTTTACTTGTTACCACAACATGTATGAATGTGTCTATGTGTGAGTGTCTCTGTATGTAATAAGTGTATATGCAAGTTTCTATAAACTATAATAAGCATTGGGTTAATGAGGACACTTAATAATTACATATTTTAGAATTTTAATTTTAAAACTCCAGTAATACTACCTAGAATAAAATGGTTTTCATACCTCTGAAGGATGATATTTTTATAGTTCAACTTTATGTCCTATAATATGAAAATCACTATTTATCCACTTTGAATTCCCAACAATTGAACATTTAGTGAATAGTCTGTGGGGTGTGAACACTCTATAATTTGTGCTATATCCAACTGAGCTATACCACAAACAACAACAATTTTTTGCACATTAGCACTTCAATGAAACATTACCATTAATATGTTATTTAAATGTAAGTCAGTTTGTGTATATATATATATATATATATATATATATATATATATATATATATATATATATATATACACTGTATTTTCAAATCCCGGCATTTATCTCAATCAATCGATAAATACACAAAAAATATATAATGCCTGGATGCAGTATTGCATAAGAAAAATATCAGAAAAAAAAATATTTGCACTCATAGGTCTGATTGTCGTGGTTTTTATTTGGTGCATTACATCATAAAACAATCAATGTAAAGGCCACTTCAGGCCTTTTTTCTGATATATATAAATATTGTATATATTGTCACACAGTGTCTTGAAGGCTTGTGGAGGTAATCTTTAGGACCTGGAATCCTTTATAGTCTATCCACTCACCTCTCCCTAATTAATGAATTAACAGCATGTAAATTCTCAGGCTGCTGACTCCTAGAAAGAATAGAGTGTTTTGTTTAAACAAGTTATCCCAGTGCAGCAGTGAGCAGTAAAACTTATCAGAGAAAACTGAGTTATTTTATCCGGGATAGTTATGATCGTTGAATATTTAGCTAGCGCTCTAAAGGAGCTAGGTTTTTGTTTGTAGTTTTTTAAACATCTGTGAATGTGATTTAAAGCCAGTGGTGGCATTTGCTTATTTATTGAATACATTGTCTCCCTTCTGCGATTTTAAGTCTGCCGCAGTCTGTATCCTAGAGGATAGTGTTGTTTTGGCTAGCAATGTGGTTGAGGATGAAGGCACAACACTACATGGTCTGTGGCTATAAAGGTTCTCCGAGAACCACTGATAGAAAACTTTGCAAAGCCATTAGACATTTGCATTAAAAATAGGAACTTGGTAAAGGCTTTGGTGCAGACTCCTGCATTTTAGCAGGATACGAACCGCTTGCTTGTTACACAAGTTAGCAGTGTATCGGAGGCTCAGCTGGAAGACAGAGCTGCACTAAGAAATGTACCCAAACTACCGATAAAGCATAGCTCATTAAAATAAATGTGTAGGTTGACGGTAAGAATATTCAAGCCCTCATTGATTCTGGAAGTAGGGTTACATTGGTAAAAAGTGTTTTGATTAAACCTGAAATATCAAAAACGTTGCAATTGCTTGATACTGTATGTATACATGGTGACATTCGCTCATACCCCACAGCAGAAGAACAAATTATTACTGGTATTAAATGTCATGTAGTTGCAGTACCTATTTTGCCATATGACAAGGTGATAGGCAGAGACTTCCCTTACTTGTGATGAATATTGGTAAAGGCCATAGAAAGTCATGAAATGTTCACAGGGGAAGGTCAACGGGTACTGGACGAAGATAAAATTTTCCCTTTTTTTATGTTTATTATGTTTATTTGATGTGAAAAAGAGGTACTTCTAGTATGGGTAATGATAATTTTTATACTGCCTTGTGGGAAGGCTAACTTTAACAGCTTTAACAGCTGCAGGGGAAAATGTACAGACGGTTGAGAGAACTATCACTGATTCTAATAAACATTTGTTGTTTTCTTATTGTAAGATAAAACATGATTTGCTTTATCGAATAGATAAAAAAGGATTGGGGAGATGGAGCTGTTATACCCCACACAAATCCCACAGAAGTGTACACTTGGGATTGAGAAAACCTGGGATGCGTGCAAGTATTTTTGCAGAAAAAGAAAGATTTTGTAGACCCTATCCAGAATGTTAGTGAAATCCATTGAAAGGTTTTCGGTTTTCCTAACTCATTAATACCATTATAAAAATTCCTTTTGAGCAGATTGCGATGAATTTAGTAGGGCCATTACCTAAATCAACTAGGGAGCACCAATATATCTAGTTGTACTTGCTTCAATCCAATAATATCATAAAAGAAAAAAACACCCCTTCCTTTACTGAATACCAGAGAGAGATGCATTAAAGTAGAAGTAAATACAATATTGGACTTAGGGGTAATTGAAGTTTTACAGAATGAATGAAACAATCCCGTTGCTCTAGTGCCCAAACCAAATGACCTTTGGAAATTGAATGACATTTCTAAGTCTGATGCTTATGCCTCGGTTGATGAATTAATAGAGAGACTAAAGGGTTCAAGATATCTAAGTACTTTAGACTTAACAAAAATCTATTGACAGGTTCTCCTGATGGAAAGGATAATGGGAGGGGGAAGGGTTTTCTACACTAGTGGATCTGTTCCAGTATACAGTTTGTTTGCATGGTGCCCCAGCTACTTTTCAGTGAATGATGTGTAGCATATTTAAGTCAATAAAGAATGTGCAGCTGCCTACTTTGATGATGTGGTGATTGTCGGAGTTCTAGCAACATAGTTCAGGCAGTAGTAGATTCTATCCGAGCTTTGTGTGTGTGTGTGTGTGTGTGTGTATATATATATATATATATATATATATATATATATAATCTGTGTGTGTGTTTTTATGTGTTTTTTTCAAGAGGACCCTTTTTTAGGGTCCTGAGGAAAGTCCCAAGCGTTTATCACACTGCAATGTGATGTATACTTTGCATATTTGGCTTTATAAGCTCTACGGTTGAATATAAATCATGTAAATGAGACTTAGATTCTGAATTAATGAGGTTGGTTAACTCCAGAGGTAGGAAGAAAATCTAGCCCCACTGGAATTACCTCTACTTTAAATTGAATACCTTATATTGAATTTAAATTAGAGGTAATTCCAGTGGGGGTGGATTTTCTTCCTACTTTTAGGAGTTAACCAACCTCATTAGTCTACATTATTTGTATATAAGGGTTATGCCCTATCTACCTCTGTAACCTCTTCCAAAGTCTTTTGCTAAGGTTTTCCTTGCCTTTAGTAGTTTTTTTCTTCTTAGATTCTGAATTAGCAGCTTATAACCCCTATATCTCAAGTCTCATCTACCTTACAAGGATGTTCTACTAGGAGTACATTTTTAGGCAGCGGTCTGGGACTGATATGTGGTCCTGGCCCAGCAGGAAGAAGGAACCAGCATACTTCAGCTGGAACATCAGGAAGTGGGAAACATCACCCAATCAATGAGGCCAGCCTCTGATCAGGATAATTGACAGCAATTTTAAATTAATCACTTGGATGTTTTTAATAATACTGAAGTGGGCATTTTGTCTAAGGCCTTATCCTTCATCCCCACCCTGGATCCACATGACCTTAAATGTATAGTGGAACACTTTAAATTTTGGTAGAAAAGAGATCACACAGATTTAGTACAGGTTAAATGCCAATTTAGATCCACCAGCCATGTCTACATAAATGCATTCTCACATTTGGTGAAATCTAACAGCATCCCTTATCTTCATAGGGAAAATCATGACATTGTTATATTCCTAAAGTTGAAAGTTGCCTTGAAAAGTCTTTCAGTGGACAATTCTATCACTGTTCACCCAGCAGATAAGGGAATGGGCAATGTTATAGTGAATTATGCTGATTATCAGAAGGACATATTAATGCAATTGAGTGATTCCAACTAAGTACTAAGTACTGTTTGCAAAACTAACCTCGCCACTGAGTCCTGGAGAAGCCTGTGTTACAAAATGCATTTTGTCCCTATTTTCTCTTATGACAAATTGCCCTGCTTCCCCGGGTTATGGAGAAGCCTGATTGCAAGCCTCCTTCCTCATGACTATGCCCCCCTCTCATCAGCCCATGCTAAATTTAAAACCCCATGGCGATTTGACTGTGTTTGTGGGATCTGAGCGCTGTTTGGATATATTGAGCGCTCAGATCAAAGCCACCTGGGGATAGGTTGAATGTGGGGGTTCTGTTCAGTATGATAGGAATTATGTATTTTTGTGTATTTTTGCTAAGCCAATTATCTCCAGGATAGAGGACTCTGTGGAACTGGTTTGGGCTGGAAAGCCATGCTTCAGTTGGTCACAAAGGACTTCAACCTAACTTTTAAGCCACTGGAGGGAATTGTCTTATTTTTGAGTATGTTTGTTTTTGGAGTATGCTGATTCTGAAAATGTAAGTTTTATGTGATGTATACTTTTAAAGTTATGAATATTGTGTAAAACTGTGTATTTTCCTGCCTGTGATAATTACATTAGCCCATTGTGTTCAGTAATTATATCACAGGCAGAGGGAAAGATTTTGCTGGAATGAATGTGAGTGTTTTACTGTATATTATGTGTTGATTGGATGTTCCACAAAACCCTGTGGGTGGTACTAATGTGTAAGAATGTGTATATAAGAAAAATAAAAACACAGCTCTGTCTATTCCTGTTTTGACCCTCAACATAGAGCCTCATCTCATGATTGAGGGATCGGCTGCATCTACACTGGGGGATTGCTATACTCTGTATACTCCTCTAGCTATAATCACTGAGCTCTTTTAAGAGCTTGTTCCAGCTTTGCTCTCTACAGGAAGAGAGGTTCGGTCTGCAGTGCTTATGGTGCCTGGAGAAGCGCTTGGAGCCCTCGGGAAGCACTAGGAGCATCCATCAACGGAGGTACTCGGTGGAGTACTAGGAGCTCTGTTACAAGTACCATCTACTAATCAAGTTATTTGGCCCACTTGTCCCAAGGGTTATCATCAGAGGCATTTAGGCTAACATTAAAAAAGGAGCATATCTTTGAGGAACATCCTCAGTATCCTATTCTCTATACTCTACAAAAGATCCACAAAAACCCTTGGGATGACCAATTATCTTGGCCAGGAGTGGACTCTTAGAGCCAATCAGCAAATGGCTTGAGAGATTTTTTAAAGATCCTGTTTTAATCAATACCAACTTGTGCTCGTGATACAGCTGATGTAATCTCCAGACTCAAGAGGACAACCTAAAACCTAAACAAACCCTTTCCAGTAATTCAAGTGGACCTACTATCAATAGTTATTTTAATCTAGTGCTTTGACTTTGTAGAAAGGGACAGAAAATCAGAATGATATGGAGCTACACGTGAACTCCTTATCCACATCTGTGACATTTTCAATAAAGTTTCTTGGAAAAACAGTGGCTATTTATATGCCATTCGACAAAGAAATATATAGTAGTATAGTGTTTCATGCAAAGAGCTTCAATCTGCAGGCACTTAAGAACTATGTACCGATTTCCCAGTTTCTCAGGGTAATCTGCAATAATTCTGATGCAAAATAGAGAGAACTACAACTACAGAAATTCTGGAAAAAAATTCTGGATGAAGATATTGCAAAATCCAGATTAGAAGCAGAATTTCATGCAGAGAAATCTCAAGTGGATGATGTAACAGAGCAGGTTGTGTTTGTGTGTAAACATCCAAGACAAGCAGTCTGGCTCTCAAAGAAGTTCCACAGAAGCACTGGCTTATGTTTAATAGGGACAGTTTCTTACCATTTTAGGTATTTGTAAGGAACTTGTTGGCAGTTTTTGGGTTGGTTCTTAATAGGCTGCTATATTAAAATTGAATGTACCTTTTGTACTGCACTGCTACATTTGCAATTAAATTTAGACCATAAACACAAGGGTTGAAAGAAAGCAGGTTAAATTCTAATAAAACTACATAACAGATGTACCAACTGTGGTAACGGAATTCCCTTATACGTTTTCATAAACTGTCCAAAGATAACGCTATCCCTTAGAAAAATACCTCTAAATCAAATCACACTTAGATGCATAACTGATGCAACTCAACTTTGATAATACTAATTCAGATCTTTCCATAATAGAGCAGATGTGCGTCAATAAACCTCCCAGAGACAAGGTAATCTCAACCTGCTATGACCCATTGCTTCTTGAACAAAATAACAGAAAAATAACATGCAGGTGGTACATGGTACCGACACACCTAAACCCTTCCTCATCCGACAAATGTTGGACGTGTTTATATGAGAAAAGGTCAATGTCCCATATATGGTGGGATTGCAGGGCTATTAGAACCTTCTGGCAAATGATTCACAAATAACAGGTAAACATATTCAGCCAGACTGTCAAATACTCACAAATTAATAACCTTTAATGTCCTGATTACTGCCAACTTTGCAATTGACAGGGGGTGGAATTCCATAAAAATATCTACTAAGCAGGAAATATTACTCAAAGTTTTTATAAATGAATCATATGAAAGGTTAGCTTTTAGAAACTCTCACAGAGGTTAAAAGATAATAAAAGTCTGGGCTGTAGGTAGATATTCTAACGTTGGTTCAAACACCATACGTGATACCCCACACATAATGGGAGGACTTCTCAGAACATATATATAAATACATTCAAAATAAAATAAATAAATACATTTTAAAAAGAGAGTGAGGGAGGTAATGAATGTACCCACTTTGTAAGAGTATTCTTCAGGGCAACTCTTTTTGGACATCATAAACACCTAGGCATGACCATGAAGACATGATGATGTTGATGTTAGAGGTTTCCATTTTATACTAGATCACATGCTTATAGGAAATTGTTAGGCAATACAGGTGGTCCTCACCTTATTTTACCTATTTTACGATGGCTCACACTTACGACCAGCTCTCCAGCATGGGGATTCAAGAGATTCTCCACGTTAGAGAGCTGGTCTATGTTCAGGGACTTTTCCCCAAACTGGTGCATTTGTCTACGTTCGGGTAAATTTCCCCGAACATAAAAAAATGCACCAGAGCAGGGAATCCGTCTAATCTGTGTTCGGGGAATGTTCCCCGAACATAGATTTGAGGGATTTCCTGCTCTGCAGTGCTTGTCTATGTTCGGGAAAATTTCCCTGAACATAGACCTGCACTGGTACGCATGCTCTGTAACGCATCCTCACTTACCGACCAATTTGTTTTACGGCCGGGTCGTAAAACCGGAACCCGGTCAGTAAGTGAAGAGTGCCTATACCTTGCACGCACCTTGATAATTTCTCTACCCTTCTTATCTTCTGAATTCTATGCTTTTTCCTTTCCTTTTTTTGTTTCCTACCTTTCTCAAGACTTTTTTCAAGACTTTCTTGAAAAGTCTACTCTACAGAATGAAAAGCACTTATATAAGTTGCAGTCGAAGACTTATGGCTTAATTGTTTAACCAGTTAGGTGACCTTATGATAACTTAATGCACTGCTAACTGATGCATCGATGTATTGCTGTATTTGTATTTCAACCTTTGCATTATGTGCCATTTCTGATACGAATCAAATAACTGCATGTCACTGCTGTTTTATTCTACAGTTCTGTAGTGCTCTTATGCACATCTGTAAAATGTATCATATTTTTTATATATATATATATATTATATAATTAAAAAAATACATAACAGAAACAAATATATATGGATTCTTAATACACGCAATATTTACTCTGACATCTGAATATTGTTTAATTCCCTATTTCTTTGTTTCTGAGTAAAATATAACCAATGCAAGCGTTCAATATGTTTCACAATGAGTTTGGCAGATCAATTTCTAGACATGAAAGTTACACCTATGCAACATTAGAAATTCATATTTTCTTGCTGTGTGAAGAAGCAGTAAGCAGGTGCTTTATTTTGTATGAAGTGTTATATAGATCATTTTATTGCAGCATGTTCATTCTTTAAAATATGCAAAATGATACAGATCTTATAAACTGTAAAACTTTTTCAATTTTTTGTAGGCATATATTTAGTACACAGTAAGCAGTGGAAAATTAACTAGGGAATAAGAAAGGGAAACCAAATTCACCTTTATTCCCTGTTTCTTAAAAAGTTCATACAAGCTTATTCATTAACCCCGTAATTGTGGATAATTCACGAAAACATTGACAATTCTTGGAATATGTGAAATCTGGTCTGCCTAATGCAACACACAGAGATGAGGAAGTCTGACTTAAAGTGAATTGCTCAAAACTGAACTAAGACAGGGATACATCCAAAACCTGCCTGGAGATATAAAGGACAGTAATACCTTCAAGGTAGTGTGTTCAGGAGCTAATTCACTTTTAAATGGCTTATTCAGTAAAACTAGATATAATAGTTATGTTGAAATCTGGAACAGTTGATGATGGTATAAATGAGATGTGTGGTGTGTATACCTTTAAATCTGCTAGAGACAGAGTCTATCTGTTACACACCAAACGATCTGCTTAATAGAAAGCAACTACTTGTTACAGAATAACAACATAAAGAATGGTTATCTGTTTGATATTATTATGCACACAATTATATAAGAAATAGTGTATTTAACTTTAAATCGGCTGGTAGCAGACTGAATAGTGCAAAAACAGTGTTGGTTTTCAGTAGAGAGATATATAGAATTCTTGATCTCTATACTTAGTATTATGATAAAATCCCTTAAGATATGAATTAGCAGATAAAAATTCCAAAAAAAACACTATTCGAAAAATAAAGATGTTTAAAAATGATATAAAAATGTATTCATAATATATATGGATAAAAGAATAAGGATACTTATTCTTTTATCCATATATATTATGAATAAATTTTTATATCATTTTTAAACAACAAGCACTGTTTTTGCACTATTCAGTCTGCTACCAGCCGATTTAAAGTTAAATACACTATTTCTTATATAATTGTGTGCATAATAATAGCAAACAGATAACCATTCTTTATGTTGTTATTCTGTAACAAGTAGTTGCTTTCTATTAAGCAGATCGTTTGGTGTGTAACAGATAGAATCTGCCTTTAGCAGATTTAAAGGTATACACACCACACATCTCATTTATACCATCATGAACTGTTCCAGATTTCGACATAACTATTATATCTAGTTTTACTGAATAAGCCATTTAAAAGTGAATTAGCTCCTGAACACACTACCTTGAAGGTATTACTGTCCATTGACAATTCTTGGTCAAAATCATCGAGCAAGAAATATAGCTGTTCTGGAGAATTTTTCTAATTTGGCTATTTTGAACAATAATTTGCAATTTCGCCTCGCAGTTTTACACAATGCATGGTTTACTCAGTATGGAGTGCAAGATTTATTTACCTGTTGTTTTTATACACAGTCTCAAATAATTTAGTGTTGCTTTCTGTGTGCAAGTGCGTATTTACACAACGTTTTGACCAAGCCTTATTTCATTTCGATGTGTGACAATTCCTGTTTGCCTGGCAAGTAATGTATAGAATTAAACAGCTCATATCAAAATTCATTTTGAAAATCTATAAATTTAGCTAAAAGGTGGAGCGTTTCATTAAACATTGCTTTATGTGCTTTTATATGGAATATCACACAGAATATAATTGATTCACTTAAATCTCTATTCTGAATCACTATCTGGTGTTTTAAACCAATCTGAATATGGATAGATGGTAATTCTTGGCCAGTATGCAGAAACCACACATATTTGGATAAACGCATATGAGTTTTTAATTACGCAGGGTTCTTCAAACCTATCATTGGGAACCATTTATTTTACAGGAAATTAAAAACAGAAGTCTCAACATTTGCTCACTTTTGTAAAAGCAGTGATATCAGAAAATAATTACCTATTGGTTAATTCTAAAGACAATGAAAAATGTAATAGTGCAGTGATTCCTATTGCTTCTCAAATAACTCCAAAAGCCAAGATTGACTCCCAGAGGAAGGGAATGATAATCTCAAACCAGTCTCTAAACCAGGGATGACACAAAGGCAGATTTGTATCTACTTAAGAATTATAACTCATAGGGTATTTTTCCATTCTTATGACAGCATAAAGCAGTTATAGGCAACCTTCGGCACTACAGATATTTTGGACTACACCTTCCATGATGTCTTGCCAGCATTATGGGTGTAAGAGAATTATGGGGGATGTAGTCCACAACATCTGCAGTGCCAAATGTTGCCTACCCTTGGTATAGGGGATGTATTTTATATACAAGCAAGGAATCTATCATTTTCCCACCCTCCTTCCTTATTCTGCAGTATGGCTTGTTATATATAAGATATGAATTAGCTCATAAAAATTCCAAAAAAAACACTATTCGAAAAATAAAATATAAAATATATATATTACTTAATGAGATACATGCCAGGATTCAATTTACAAATTACTTTATGATACATGTACTTATTAATTAGAGATTGCAGATTATATTAGAGAACCCATTAAAATGAAGGATGGTTAATGGAATCCTATAAAAATGCATATGCCTCATCAACATATTCAGAAATGCAGATATTCAAAATGACATCCAGCATTGCTGTTTGTCCAGTGTTGGTAGACTAAATAACCCTTTCTTTTTTTTTGTGTAGCTAAAATATTTTTAATCAGTGGACGGTTATTCAACACCTTTATTAAACTGTGCTCCGGTTTATTTTATAATATTGTTTTTCTTGAAAAAAATAATTGTTTAGCATTGCATTTTCATTTTGTAAATCGTGTTCCGACCACGTTATACAAAATGACCAAGATATTATCACATAGAAGTTAATAGTATAATGCCTGTTCAGTTACCACAGGTACAGTTATTACTTGGAATAGATGGAAGCCTGTATATGTTTAAGTTATTCAGAACATTTTAAACACTTAGGGTTTAGTTTCAGTCTATGTGCTAAGCAGTAGTACCTTTATGCTTCATATGCATGAGAAATACATTTCCCATGAATTATATCTTCCCTTTAGCCTGACTGAGGATCATGGGAGATGTAGATCAAACATATCTAGGGAACAAAGTCAGCTACCAGTTAGATAGAAATTGAAATAAAACACAGACAATATTCCAAAACAGAGAACATTTATCTAAAACAGAGAAAACATTGACGTATTTCCTTTCCCATGAAATACAACAAATACAAAAAGAATACCTTTGTACTGACTTTGCAAAATGATTTATAGACACACTTTTAAACTACTTACTAATGATTAATTCTGTTGACTTCGGCTAACCATTTGTTTTCTAAGAGACCCTGAGAATATATATATTTTTTAAACTAACCACATCACACACAAGTCCTCAAAAGCCTGAGAAAGTATACACACAAATAAATGTTGCAAGGCACACCCACAAAATGTATATGCACTTGTTCATATTATTCAATGCTCAGATTACAGAATAAACAATGCACTGAGCATTTCTAAGAAATTTACCAAAATATTCTAAGAAATTACTTTGCAAAACATGTTGTCTAATTAAAAAAAAAAAAAATCTAATTACTTTTAATTTCAAGTGGGGTTATATGTTAATTTCCAAAAGAATATAACAGTCTATAGCATGTGAACATCTCTTCTAAATCTTATAGTATTTCAAAGAAAATGTAAAGAAATCATTGCACAAAATGGTAAACGAGCTATGTACATTTAAACGTCCGAACATTAATATCCTTCTACAAATACCTTGAGATACAACTGCATGGTTGTCCAAATCAAGGCACAAGAGCTAACTGGTTTTAATAGAAATTGATTTGCACAAAAAATGTGTTACTTATATGTTGTGATGGGACTATGACTTTGAAAACTAGCTCAGATGTTCTTGGTAAAATACCTAAACAAATATTTGGATATTAAGTGTGATAACTATATCTTTGGGAGAAAAAAAAAATAAAGGTAAAATAGAACAAAGTTTATGCAGACTTTGGGACTACTCGCAATTAAATATACTCATGCTTTACCTAGTATCATACTTCGGCAAATAGTTACCCGGTTACACAGTGTTATAGGCTGAAAAATATTCAAGTTCATCAAGTTCAGCCTTGGACTTATCTCCTTAGATCGACAATGCAATGAAATAATAATAATAATTTTTTTGTAAAACTGTTTAAGAGGGATACAATACCTGCTCTTGACTATGAGGCAAAAGGGCTGTTGGGCTTAGAAGAAATGTAAAATATCAAATCGCATATAGGTTTTTTTAGGTTAAATATATTTTTCAAAAATAAGATAGGGTTTGTGGTTTTACAAATGTATGAGGATTACTTAGGATTAGACTAATACAGAGATACAAAAGAAAGTAATTTTGCAGAAGTAAAAACAGGTAGGCCAAGACATATGTATCTTTTTGTTTACAGGTTTTTATTTTGTCTTTGTTTTGGTTTTTAACCCCTTAAGGACCAAACTTCTTGAATAAAAGGGAATCATGACATGTCACACATGTCATGTGTCCTTAAGGGGTTACAGATTGAAATATTTTTTTAAAAAAAATATTGCAACTGATTGCTGCTAGATCAGGCAAAGCACCAGGGGAGATGTAGTCCATAACATCTGGAGTGCCAAAGACTGACTACCTCTGCTCATGATAATCTGTCCAATCGTATAAAAATAACAATATTTATAAGAACAAATATGACTGCCTGTAACAATAGTCACATTCTACAAGCAATTCAAGTCCATCAACATGAAGTACAAGATATCCAATCTAAATAATCTTGATAAATAATGTGTATAAAAATATACACATTAAAATTGTTTGTCTTAAGTTTCCACCATCATCTGTTGCAATGTTATTTTAAGCTTGTCCAGGGGACTTAATTTCACACTTTTCAGGGCATTTGAAAAGTCTTACTATCATGTAGAATACACTTCTTTTTCTAAGCATCCCTATTTAAGTAAGTGGTCACAATACTTACAGTACACAGAGACAGTACATGCCAGGTACTGTCTCACTGTCTCGTAGCAAGTAGCTTCCATCTTTACCAACTTCACACAAGAGCTTCTCCCCCGTTTCACGGCTGATTTTTCCATGGTAAACCGACACATTCTCCATCACGCAAAGGGGGAAATACAATCTGACAGTGACAGATAAAAAGCAAAAGTTCTGAGTAAGGTGGAGAGGTAAAGCAAAGTTAGATCAACCTAAAGTGTTCTTTTATAAGAAAATACAATGAAAAACCCAGACAGGAATTACATTTTACATAAGTAACAGCTCCTCCCTCCCCCAGTAGGCCCCACAACAGAAGGATGTAAATGCTGAACACATCTGAGGTGGAATTTAGCAGTCAAAATGTGACATACATAGATTTTTTTTTTTCCATTATGGTTATAAATAGAAGTGAAAGATTTTTTTTTTTAAGTATGGTATAAATTCATGCTACTGGAGAATGTTAGATTTATTTGCATGACAACTTAAAACAGTACATGGAAGATAAAACACTATTCTGATCTGTAGTCTACTGACGTTCATCTCAGTATGATTGATAATGAAACTCGGGAAGTGCAATGATGTATTTTTTACACTGCTTTGGTTAATCTAATTTTAATAACTGTAAACGCATGTAATGTTATGTTTACCTATTTTGTAATGTTATCTGTGGGTAAAACTGACACAAACATCCAGAAGACACTACATATTTTTGTCCTAATAAAAACAAAAAGAACAAAAATGTTAACTATTATTTATGTTGCCTTGTTAAGAAAAAGAATTGTTTCATGATTATAAATTAGGGGTGGGCAAAAAGTATATCTTCAGATGTTGTAGAGCTGCAGGTTCCATGATACTCTGACATTCCAAAATCTGGCAAAGCATCATGACAGTTGAAGTTCTACAACATTTGGGGTTCTGCCTTTGGCCCACCCTTACTCTAAATCATCATCAATCTGTAAATAAATCCAAAATGGAAAGTAATCAAGACAGCAAACATGTTTGACTAAAATCTATTGACAGTGTGAGATGCGTCAGCAATGTCGACAAGGCACGATGCCCGTTGAAGGAGTTACTGGCACTTTTACTAACAGTAGTTAGTAAACAGGGGTGTAGAAATGTTTTAAATATCTACGTGTCCATGGGAACAAGCTGCCTGCCAAGTGATCGGGACTGCAAATCCGAGGCGTCGGCGATGCAGATTCCAAAAGTCTGTTCCAATTACTTAGTTAGGGTTTGCTTGTTTTTTGTTTTTTTTTTGTTTTTTTTTTTACAAAATAGTAAATTGAAGCCAATTGAAAAACAAAGTGTAAATTCCAATTTCTTTTTTTTTTTTTTTACTTTTTCACTTCATTACAATTCATTTAAAATCTAATTAATTATTTAAAGGAACAATCAAAGCACCAACATTTATTTAGCTTAATGAAGTGGTGTTTATGTATATATGATGACCAAACAGTATAAATGCCCAAATCTGCTATTTAGATGTTAAATCCCTTGGTCAGGCATATCTAACCACGCTGCAAGTCACACAGCTTCCCTACATACTTCCTGGAAAAGAGCCAACATTTTTTAGCTCCCTTACAGCACAGTGTCAGGGTTATTTAGTAAAGTCCAAATTCACACTATTTAACAATGTCCGTATTTTTCAAATCAAGCCCCAAAGGGACCAAATGCTGATGGATGGCTGAAATCCAGACCCAAATGCATCCCATCCCAGCCAGAATGTGGATTGTAGTCACATTAAATAGTTACAAAATAAAATAGTTAAAAAAATAAAAAGTCAAAGTGGCAATAAGACCCATATATTACTTTAATTAGTAATTATACTATACTATATATTATATACTATTCTATTTTATACTATGCCCCTACTTGTCAGGTGGCATTGGGTTGGGGATACCAGTGGGGGAATCTATCACAATTATTATTTTAATATAAGGGGGTACCTAGCATTCCTCCCTGGTCCCCTTACATGGGAAGTAGGTGGGAGCCCTAATTATTATGCCCTAGTGTCCTTTCCATGTTCCCACCCATGAGCAGCATCGGGGTCCACATTATAATATTAAAAGGGGGAGAACCTAGTATAATCCCCTCGGGCCCCACCCATTGTTGACAGCATAGGTCCTTAATTATAATTTTCAAGGACTATGACCTTGTGCCACCAACAACTACCTATGGATGGAAGGTTGGGGATCTAAATAATTAAAAAATGAGGGACATGCTATTGTTCAGCTCTTCAAATAGTGGTGTGTCCCTCCTCCTTCTCATGGGTGGCTGGGGATCTCCAATCCCCTAACCACCCCCATTAAATATAAATAACCCTTACGTACCCAATCTAATAAGTGAAGGAGGGCAATAAAATGGAATAACTGTAAAATGAAAAAAAATAAATAAACCTACCATATTCTTTATTTAACTCTCCTTTTCATCAGTCCAAAAAGGTAAAATTAAATTAATTTCAAACCATTACAACTTGTAAAAAATAATAATTAAAAAAAAGATTTTTAAAAACAAAATAAGTCCAAAATGTGATGCAGTATAATTTATTTAACTACGCCCTGAAAGGGCCTTCTTTATTTCTAAAAAAAACTTTTTTTCTATAAATGAAAAGGACTGTAGAATATGTTGGTACTATATAAATGCTAATAATAATAACTGTGTCTGCTGTGGTTGCAGTCACCGTTAGACTCAAGCAAGCAGTGCAAGAACACTCAATGAAAATGTACATTTTATTATCAAACCATATCAACACATCTTAAAGAACACTATAGTCACCTAAATTACTTTAGCTAAATAAAACAGTTTTAGTGTATAGATCATTCCCCTGCAATTTCACTGCTCAATTTAGGAGTTAAATAACTTTGTTTCTGGGGGGGCGGGGCCGGACCGCCGAGCTGGACGGTCGCACATGAGTTCAGCTCCTGCAATACACCCACAAATATGCTTTAAAAATTATGGAAAATGACCCAACTACTGACCGGCAGCAAGGGTCTTCAGAACCACGAAGTTACCGGATCCTGGGAGAGGCTGGCTACCGGAGCTACAGTCCCCAGGAGGTGAAGCCCGCAACGAATAAGTTGGGGCCTACGCCGGCGGTGAGAGGGACAGACGGCCGCTGCCCCACTATCCCGCCTAATGGTACGAAGCCGGAGATCAAGACCCGGGCGGTCCTGGCCCTGTCCCCCCCCCTCTGGACCGGCGGGGGTGATCCCGGTCCTCACCCAGAGGCTACACATCCAGGGTCCAGAGGTACTACCATCCCGCTCAAAGGCCTGAACACGACATCCAAGATGGCGGATGCCATGTGCGCTGGGGCCGGGGAGAGAGAGTGCGCCCTCGCAGGGAGTGGAGCAACAAACTGGGTCTCTGGACAAGAGCCCAAGGGGCCAGAAGAACTTAAGCTCCTTACACTAGACACCGCAACCCCACAAGCGACTACTTACCAGCCCACTACACGGAACTCGCCACAGGCGAACAGCAGAGGAGGCCGAGCCCAAGCCATAAGGGCAGCGGAACCAGCTCACACTGCACCCGACCTTCCACCGCCAGAGACTGCCAACCTCGTAACAGACCAAGGAACTCCCACAGCAAGGCCGACAACATTCATCGGCGGCCATAACAGCGGTCTCATCCAGCAGCCAACTGTATCACACAGTGCCCAAACATCCGTCCTGACAGGCGCTCACCTCGGGAAATCCAGAAGAGGTACCCAAGGCCAGCCGGAAAAGCAGCCCAAAAGATACCAACGAGCAACACAGCAACACTCCCGGAGGGGCGCTGCTCGAACCCCCGCATTAGAGAACACTCGTTCCCGACCGCACGGACCCGCCGAGCCGAAAAGCCCTGGAACGCAAACCAACCTAAGAACTTTATTCCAGCCAGGGTGATATAATGTTCATACAAACACCATTTAACACTAGCATGTCTACATCTTAAGTTCGATAGTACAGCATACCGTTAAACTTACTCACTAACAGCCTTTGGAAGCACCTAGGTTATTAGACAAGCCATTAGTTAAACGACTGAGTATTGCACTCCTCATATACTTATTTAATTATAATAGGCTTAGCATAACAAGCCACCTCAATGCCTATTTTGGACCAGTTAGCTGTGTAGCACTATTCAGACCAGCCATGCTGTTAGAATATGCATTCTATTAAGTTACTCGCATAAAACCCACTACGTTTCATTCAATGATGTTACTACCTGTCATTTCGGTAACTTACAACTCGATGTATGTTTATCTTTAAAAATACAAAATGTGCCAATAACCCTATGCCATCTATGTGAATAATCTTGCTTTAATGGGCTTGTACTATGCTGTTGTGGCATTGTCGGCTTTTATGTTATCTTGTGCACAATAAAAATAAAGAATTTAAAAAAAAAAAAAAAATAACTTTGTTTCTGTTTATGCAGCCCTAGCCACACCTCCCCTGGCTATGATTGACCATGCCTGCATGAAAAAAAAAAAGATGTAATTTACCTTAAATAATTGTATCTCAATCTCTAAATTGAACTTTAATCACATACAGGAGGCTCTTGCAGGTTCTAGCAAGCTATTAACATAGCAGGGGATAAGAAAATCTTAATTAAACAGAACTTGCAATAAAGAAAGCCTAAATAGGGCTCTCTTTACAGGAAGTGTTTATGGAAGGCTGTGCAAGTCACATGCAGGGAGGTGTGACTAGGGTTCATAAACAAAGGGATTTAAATCCTAAATGGCAGAGGATTGAGCAGTGAGGCTACAGGGATATGTTCTATACAACAAAACTGCTTCATTAAGCTAAAGTTGTTCAGGTGACTATAGTGTCCCTTTACTAACAAAATGCATATTTATTGACCACAAATAGGGTTAGCAACTAAGCATATACATAACTTAAACTGAGAATTTCTGTAGAAACTTTGTTTAATAAACAGGCTGCAGTCTTAATGATGGGCATGATGAAAGGGTCTAAAGCAGCCAATTCTTTAAATAAAATGGGGTTCTCAGAAGAGGAGAAACAAGTCCGGGTACATCCTATCACGAGTTACATAGCAACTTCATGTCACATGATCTTTGAAAAGGGTGTACAATCTCTTTAATGTAACACTTTTAAAATGGGTACCTGTTTAGGCTGCCATCAGCTTCCTTAGATCTCTAATTTGTACTTTACTTAAACTTTCTTCCCCAAAAGGTCACTTATTAAAAGCACCTAACCATGATATATTCTGCTTGTTGCAATCTCCCTCAAAAACACCCGTAGCTTGAGCTGTTAATAATGCTAAAATATGCCTCCAAAAATGAAAGGAATATGTGAGTGGGCAGTTGACAACCAACTCAACCCTTCCACCCTGAGAATAATGAAGCGTTCTCATAAATCCATCTGTAGTGCCAATGGTGGTCATTAAGTGCGGGGGAAAAAACAGCAACCTATGAGCTTCTCCCAATCTCATCTGTGGAGGAAACAAGCAGTAAGGCAAGGTGAAACTACTACAATGAAAGACATTGGAAAAATGGGGCAGAAGCAGCTGCAGGAGAAATTTTATTAGAATTACTTTCTGATTCACCACCCGATTTTACAATACTTTCACAATTTTAGGAACAACTTTGAAGGGAGAGGTGAGTGAGAAAAAGTCTTAGATATTTGAGTTCATCTCGTGAAAAATGGGGGCAAAAACAAAAGTGTTGAGTTTATAATTTTTTCCAGTGTAGATATTTTTATGATATTTTGGGGTATTTTTATGTTTTATATTTTTTTTGTGCTTGCTTCTCTGTTCCTGGGAGATAATTAACTTACCGGTCTTTAACGTAGTTATCTCCCAGGCACAGAGATTTATAGGAGGGGCTTGTCTTGTATTGAATGGAGACCCTCATGCTGGGGGCTGTGTATAAAAGCTGGTAACTTGGCCATAATAAACCAGTTCCTTTACACCCTTCACTCACTCTGGGATAGTGTTTGGGTGGATCAGCTATACTCTCTGCTGGAGAGTTTAATCACTAGAAGCTGTACCCAGGACCCTGTTCCAGGGCGGGAAGCAATGGAGAGACCCCGGCCAAGCTGCAGCAGCTAGGGGCTGAAGCACTTCTGTGTCCCAGAAGAGAGCTAGGAAGCGAGCTTGACGGAGGTATGCAGTCAGGGTGAAAGGCGGTCCGTCACATCCAGCTTAAAGTTTTTCTACTGCAAAGTGTCTGGAAAAACTTTTCTTGGAAGTATAATTGTTTTATTGCTTCTCCCTGGAGATCGATCCCACACATCCATCATGGCAAACTAAGCTGCTGCTTGCCTCTCCACCTCAAAAAAAAAAACGTCTTTCAAACAAATGAAAATGAGCATGTGAGCATGTTCAGGCTTGCCCAAGTCAGTTTCCCTGAGATTCTGCCACATAGCAGCTCAGAATTTTGGAATATCATAACGAATTCAGACGAATTGCAGTTCGCTTTCAAATGAATCAAGTCTACTCCCAATAAAACTTGCTTGTAATGCCACTATTATCATTAATTAGTAGTAAAAACAGACTCATGCAACTCATTTCATTGTTGTTTATTGAAAAAGCTTTCATCAACCAAATATTTTTATATTTTATCTGATACTTATTAGTTATATGATCGTTTCCAGTTCTTTTCCATTTTCTGTTCTGTCAGGTGTTCTAAAGGTATAATTCCAGTCCACAACAGCTCCATCCCTTAAGACAATGTACTTGTGCATTTAGCATTTATACAGATGCAAATAGAGTGTTACACATGCAGTTGTGGTCATTTGTGGTGTTGTAGGAGTAGAGCAGCAAGTTCTAGTAATTTTGTAGACTATTGTGGCAGAGAAGCTGGTGATGCAGAAGATTATGGTAGTAGATTATGGCAGGGGGCTATGACTTAGAGTACCTTTACACTTTCAAGCTCTTTCAAATGCATGTCCTGCATAAACCCACTAGGTTGAGGATATTTAGATGATACAAGGCTTTATTAGTGTAGTAAGGCAGACTATGTATTCAGTAGATGTCCCTTTAACGTAAAGACCATAGTCCAGTGGCCATGTGGAGCTGAATGCTACCATTAGGTCCCACCTGGATAGCCGTTGGTTAGCTCCCAACAATTTATGACCATGAAATTGGAGAACAGCTGTGCTATTGCATCCATAAGCCAATCTGAAACATGAAATTGCATTTGCAGCTTTAACTATTGCAAACTTGTTGAAATCTGCTACTGGTAGGTCCTCAGCATATGACCTTCTACTCAGTATGTTTGTTTGGCCTATACAGCCAGCACGGGAACTGAAAATAAACACAGCATAGAATAGAATTAATACAAAAGGCTTCATATAAGACGTCCAACGATACATTGTCATCCATATTTTTACTGCCACTGCTTATATATTCCATAGACCATTATGCTACTAATATTGTTCCCTGAATGTGTTTAAATTATTGTTGCTTGCATATAACTTCCATTTTTTCTGTTTCCTGGACATCAGGAGTGAATTTTCTTGCATGCAGCTAGAAGTTGCTAAATATTTACCTTATTAGATGATGCCTATTACAGATGAAGCAAATACAAGAGCTTCTGGATATAGTAGGATTACAATTATACATATTCTTATGGTTATTTACTAATATTACTACATTACTAATATACTTGTGCATGACTAAAAACATGATTATTGAGTGTTTCTGGAGGTTAACAGCTAAGAAGACAGTAATCTTGAAGATAAGCTACCTGGACAAACACAACCTTATCTATGGTGTAGCAGATGCAAACTGGCAGTGTAGGGCAAACTTAACCCCTTAACGCCATTAAGGCGTACTATGCTGCCCTTAATTTATTAAGCCTAAACGCCGTTATGGCGGTACAGCATGCCGTAACGATCGTTAGCCCCCCTGTCCCTGCAGACTTACCTGGACCGGCGATCTGCGGCGATCCCGGTCCAAGAGGACTGTCTCTCAGGACAGGCAGTTCCCCTGCTTCCATTTCGGCCCTCCAGATGTCGCAATCACATGGCCGCAAAGCAGTCTATGAGACTGCCTGCAGGGGGACTGCCTGAAAAGTGTGTTCAGGCATTAGGGGGACTGCCTGAAAAGTGTGTTCAGGCAGTCCCCCCTAATGCCTGAAAAGTAAAAAAAAGTTACAATCACACACTCACACAATATATTATACATGTATAATATATTATAAATTAATTAAATCACCTGATTAGCATATTATAAATATATAATACATATATAATTTAATAATAAGTGTATTTTGGTATTAATCTATTAATACCAAAATACATGTAGTATTAAATTATATATGTATAATATATTAATCCGATGATTTAATTAACTTTTAATATATTATACATATATTAATAAGTCATATACATAAAAAAAGTTTACAAAAATATATGTAATATAAGTGTATCTTGATATTATATATATTTATATATGTTTATCCACTTGAGAAAGCCCTAAGGGTAGAAACGCGTTGTGGAAATTTTAACTAACTGTATTTAATAAAGGTATTTTGGCCACTTTCTTTGTTGTGAGTTAGCCATTTTATCTTTTTTACCATTTTTATTATTTTACTACCTGGCATCTGAGTTTTACTTCCAGAGACATACTACTCCAAAGCATCCTTGGTGGGGATTATACCACTTGCACCCTATCATTCAGCAGTGCGTCTGTCCACTTAAATGTGAGTAACCATTTTGTATTTTTATACACTCTCCTGGTTTTATCACAGTGAGCATATATGATATCATCAATGAAAGTTCTGTTTTTGTGTGAAAAATGGAAAAACAAAAAATAAACGCCATCTTTGGCCACGGTTTGTGACTAAGTGGCTACTAAAAAAGACTAGGAATACCACATTTTGAATACCCTGGGTTGTCTACTTTTGCAAATGGTATGCCATGATGGGGCTAATTTAAATTTCTGGGCTACTATATGGTCTCAGAGGCAACATAGGCCCTGCAAACCAATCTGGCAAATTTCAATGTGCAAACATGGAAATGCGGAAAGCCCTACATTTGACCCCTGTAAGTTTGCAAAAGCCCATAAAACCTGTACATTGGGGGCACTGTTGTACTCAGGAGATGTTGCTGAACAAATATTGGGGTGTTCTTTGTCAGTAACACATAATAGGAACTGAGAATCCATGCCTAAAGTACAATATGAGTACAAAAAAATGACAAAGACTGGTGGTAAAATACCACTATTTGAAATACCCTAGGGTGTCTACATTTCAAAAATATATGGTTTGATGGGGTAAATTACATTGGCCGGCTTCAAAAATGTCCCAAATAGGACATGGGCGCATGATGACCAGCTGAGAAAATTCCAGGTTGGAAAACTGGAATGCGCACCCTCCAAATAAGGTCTTTTAGCCCCCAGATAACCTGTCACACCTATACATGGGTGGTATCGCTGTACTCGGGAGATGCTGCTGAACACATATTGGGGTGTTCTTTGTCAGTAACACATAACAGGATCTGAGAATGTATGCCTAAAGTACAATGTGAGAGAAAAATAACACACAAAAAAAGACTACACAAAAGTTTGACAAAGACTGGTGGTAGAATTAGTGCATGGAAAGTGTTAAAATACCACCATATGAAATACCCTAGGGTGTCTACCTTTTAAAAATATATGGTTTGATAGAGGTATATTACATTGGCTGGCTTCAAAAATGTCCCAAATAGGACATGGGTGCATGATGACCAGCTGAGAAAATTCCAAGTTGGAAAACTGGAATGCACACCCTCCAAATAAGGTCTTTTGGCCTCCAGAGAAACCGACACACCTATACATGGGGGTATCACTGTACTCGGTAGAGGTTCCTGAATACATTTTTGGGTGTTCTTTGGCAGTAACCCTTAAAGTTCTCTGTACGTGTATTTTTAAATTGCTATGTGTGTCAAAAAAAAAATCACAATTATTTTTTTGTTTTGTTTACATTTGGCATAGATTGGTGGTAAAATGGTTGCATGAAAAGTCAAAACACCCCAAGTTTAATACCTTAGGTTGTCTTCTTTTAAAAAATATATACATGTGTAGGGTTATTCAGGGATTCCTGACAGATATCACTGTTACAATGTAACTTGGTTTAATTTTGAAAAAAAAATGGTTTGAAAATAGCAAAGTGCTACTTGTACTTATAGCCCTATAACTTTCCAAAAAAAGAACATGATAACATTGGTCATTTCTAAACTCAGAACAAAATTTAGAAACTATTTAGCACGGGTGTTTTTTTGGCGGTTGTAGATGCGTAACAGATTTTGGGGGTCAATGTTCAAAAAAGTGTGTTTTATTTTTTAATTTTTTCATCATATTTTATAATTTTATTTATAGTAAATATATGATGTGATGAAAATAATGGTATCTTTAGAAAGACCATTTAATGGTGAGAGAAACAGTATATTATATGTGTGGGTACAGTAAATGAGTAAGAGAAAGAGATAATTACAGCTAAACACAAGCACCGCAGAAATGTAGCCCCGGTCCTTAATGGTAAGAAAATAGAAAAACGGTCTGGTCACTAAGGGGTTACATTTTATTCATATTAAATTATGTTTCAAATATTAATATTTGATATGGAATAAAATGAAAGCCCAGTTTCTCTTGAACAAAATGATATATAATAAGTGTGGCTGCACTTAATATGAATGAGGTAAATTATGGTTGAACAAACATACAGCGCAAATTCCAGGTTTTGTTTACATTTTGTTTTGATCAGAACGTGTATAATTGACTCCGTCCTTAAGGGGTTACAGTAGCCGGATGGAGCCGAGCTATGTTTGAAAAACATTCTTATTTTTCAAACCATTGTTTGCTAATTCTTCATTTTAGCTAAATTTAAATTCAAACGATATGAATGCTTATGTCAAGATTTTACATCAAACATGGCTGATGGTCTGTTGTAGTACCGTTAACACTGATCTTGGCCTTTCCTCTACTATTCTATTTATTAACGTTAAAACCAGCTATTCTAAGATCCCCTAATACGCTTTAGTATTCTAGTTATATTTTGTTTTGTTAAGCTAAGTTCTGCGTCTTGGGTATTAATTAAATCATCACAGTAATGCTATCTTTTCCTCTGTTTCTGTCTCTATTTACTCCTCCTTAGCTCTGTGATCTAGTTTTTTGAACCACAAAATATAGGCAAGGCATTCAGCTTTCACTTTTTGTGGGTTTTCATACAGTATTTGCATGTTAATGTGTTACTTTGCTGTTTTATAATAGGCTGGATTTAGAATGCTGTGTGTTCTGAACAATTTATTCCCCATGCTATTTAATAAATTAAATAAATATTATTACATACACTTCTAGTATGTAATAATATTCTCGAGGGCTTCCCTCCTCCGTTAGATGCTCACCCAGTCTCCACTTCTTCAAAAAATCGTTAAAACCCCACTTCTTCATAAAAGCGTATCAATTAAACTGTTAATAGCTCCTGACTGATTCCTCTTCTGCAACTGTCACTAGTCTAATACTATCCTCACCTTTTTGTGTCATTTTATCCAACTCCCTTTAGCATGTAAGCTCATTGAGCAGGGCCCTCAACCCCTCTGTTCCTGTGTGTCCAACTTGTCTGGTTACAACTACATGTCTGTTCGTCCACCCATTGTAAAGTGCTGCAGAATTTGATGGTGCTATATAAATAACATAATAATAATAATAGAATAGATTTGTAGTCCTAGCGCCTTCTAATGCCATTCCCATATTTAGGAAAATTATTTTCCAGAAAATTTCAAACAAGTTTGAAGAAAATATTTTACCAAGTGACCAATGGATGTATTATGAGGAATTATAGTGAATTATGGGTTACAATGAATAATGAGAAGCTATACATTTAAATTAAGAACTGTTGTTACCGAATTTTAAGTCATGTTTCTCGATTGCATTTCAGCTAACCTTGTTTCTCGGCAGTTGATCAGCTTCTGATGCGTCTTATATCATTTAAGACGTTAAAGGCGTATTTGAAACTCATAGATACCAGTTCGAATACAGAATATAGAAACATTTTAAAACTCGATATGTATACTTAGCATTGAAAATATTGGATTTGGCAATTTAATTTTGACTGCTACAAGTTGTAGATAAATGTTTCAACATTTTCCCAGTGGCAGTACTAGCAGCTAGTGGACAAGTAGTTAAAATACCTATTGGGTTCATTATCTATTTAAGACTAAAAAGTGTGAAAATGAGCACACGTTTAAATTAGCTTGGTGATTACTAGAATTAAATTTGGTATTTTGTGACTTATTAAGTTTGTACTTATAAAATAAAATTTAGTGAGTATGCCTGTATCAATTATACTGTCCACACGACCCAGCAACAGGCCACGTTTTGTCAGCATGTCTATTGATACAGGAAAGAGAAACTACATAAATCCTGTAATGTTGCTGGAGCATGAGGACTAGCTTGAAAACTGCTGGTCTGCATGATGCACAATAGACTTGGAAAATTGTTTCTGGCAAAACTGAAATTTGGTTAAACTTATTCTGGTCACATGATAATCTGAAATTAACAGTTCCAAACTGCCATGTGCCAGAATCTTGGGGAAACCAAATGGCGCAAACCCAAACATGCTCTTTTTGATTTGTGATTTGCAGTGCCATTCGTTGTGCCAGAAAAGAAAGGGATGGAATGGAAAAAAGTTTGTTTGTGTTTGTTTATTTTTTGTTTGATGTTAACTTGCTTTACAAGTTTTTATCTCCTGCTCTGTAAATTGTAAAACTTTAGTCACACACACAAGGTTCATGTAGAGTCTGCAAAGCTATTGGTGTGAGTGCCACTGTGACACGGTAGCTTGGGAAGACATTTACTTGCCCTATTTTTTACTTTTTACTGAACAACAGACAAAAGTGTCAGTGGCTAGAATTAGACACAGCGCTAACCATAACAACCATTGTCACACATGAAAAAGGCTAGCAAGTAGGATACAGGGTGCAAGAACTCCATGGGATAACAATCGGGACACAGCGAACAAGGCCACCAGGAGAAAGCAAGATACAGGGAGCAGGAAACAAGGAGCAAGGTCTCTGGTCTCTGAGCCATGCCAAACTAAACTGCGTATTTGCCCCAACTAAAAAATCAGCTTTTTCTTCATTCCATCACCCTTTGCTCTAGTGCCAGGAATAGAACATTGAATCATGAATCAAAATGAACATGCTTGCCCATTATGTGAGTAGCTTGATTTATGATTAGTCTGTATGGTGGTTCAGAAAGTGGGAATTTAGATGATCACATTATCAGCCAAAATTCTGTGAAATTGCAGTTCATAATAAGTATGTTCAATATAGAGCCTAGAGACTTCACCGTCAAACAAACCAATGTCACTTAATACCATAGCAGCAGCAAAAAAGTGGATGCCTATTACATGCCAGTTCTTCAGTTTATTACTTTAATACATATGTCTCAACATTAGATCAATTTATTCAAAACATCAACATATTTCTCTTTGAGTCAGACATACAAGTTATCCAAATTTAGATCACAAAGAAAAATATTAATGTTAATTAACACCTCTACTTTTCTCAGAATTTTTTTTATTTTTTATTTTTTTTAGATAAGGTTCTGAATATCAGACTACAACTAAATATCACCTTTAACAAAATGAGTGCAATATTAAGCTTCATAAATTAATAACCCAGGAAGAAATCATAGGACTGTATCAGTTTGATTAAACCTTTGCAAAACATTTTAAAGCAATATATACATATACAATGCTTTTTATAATAGCTATTTAAATCCATTTGAGTTGCACTGACATTGCAACCAATTTGCACAATGCTAGGTGAAATTGCCAGCTTGGATAAAATATGTTTAATGGCTAATCAAGAAAAGGCAAGAAAAATAGCCTTAAATTGTGATAAGTTAAAAAAAATGTCTTAGTACAATTCAATATGAAATATTGCACACATTTTTGACCTCATCTTCTGGCTTACCATTTAGTCCTTTTTGATCAGTATCGCAGATTATCTGACCCAGTTTCACTTCTTATCTAACCCAAAAAAACATGATGTGAAGAGCTTGTGATCATTCGTGAATCCTTTAATTATGAGCAAGCACAAGTCATCTCAAAAATGCACTCTGGGATGGTTTCAGACCTTCAATGTGTGCATGATCTTAGTAGATAACTATTGCTTTCATCCAAAGAGGACCAACGTTGACCCCAACAGAGCAAAGGTAAGTCAGATGATTCACAAAAAGAGTTAACGAATATACCTGTATATTAATGTCAAAATAAGGTAGATTGCCAATCATATTCTATGTGCCATAGACAGAATATCTAGAGATCAGGGTAGGTCAGTTTTTTAAAGCCATGTGTGCCATTTTAAATCCATTTCAGCTTTTGGAGCGTAAGCTAATGAAACCACATACAGTTCATTAATGCAAGGGAAGCCTACCCATATCCAGACAGTTTCACACAGTAAAGAGGACTGGAAACTGAATCTAATCTCTGAACACTTGTGTTGCAAAGTGGAACTGTGCGTAAGAGAGCATGGACTAGTTCTCTGTTACAGATCAGTTTTATGATTGCTACTGCTACTGCTGCCTACAGGTTAAAAAATATAACTCTGAAGCTGAACTGAAGTTGTTGTCCATTAGCAAAGGCCCTCGAATACATGCTAAAATACATATAGACACACTCATGCACAAACAAAAACACACAAACAGATGCTCTTAAGCACCGGGACAGACATGCATAGACATTCTTACACACAGACATTTTTCCATATAAGACTGGTACTCAGATGAAAATATATTAAAATAAAAAAATGCTTTATTGGCATGGAATAATGTCACAGTACTGTAAACCTTTCAATGTGACTCTATGTTGCCATACCTAATTAAAGACCAGAGCACTGGACTATTCTTCCTGATGATATGTATGAAAAATACACTATGTAATACTAACATTTGAAATCAGTCCATACATAAATGAATAAATGACTATTTTTGTTTAATATTCTTTCATCACATTTGGGAGTAACATCAGGTACTTTATTCCCATGCCCCCCTTCCTTGTGGCTCTCCATGTCCCCTTTTCTTTTTTCTTTCTATATCCGTCCTCTTTCTTTCCCGTTATAGTGTCTCCCCCCAGGGTCGGTGTTCTGTCAAATTTCCATACCCATCGGATTTCCCTATCCAACGTCAACTCCAGTGACACAGATCAGCTGTTCCCTGTGCTGCACGTGTGCTAGCACTCTTGACGGGCAGGGGCGGACTGACCGGTCGGGCACTTCGGACACGGTCCGAGGGCCCGGCCGGGAGGGGGGCCCGCCGCCAGGGCTGCCTTCAGGGGGCCCGGCGGCAGGGCTGGATTGGGGGCGGCATTTGGGGACTGCAGGTGCCACCGGGTGGCCGGTCCGGTGGCACACTGTGAGGGGGGGCCGGCCGTTTGATGCTGCAGCCGCCGGACCGGGTGGCAGCCTCGCCGGTCCGGCGGCATTCCTCCTACTAACGCTGAAGAAGAAGAAGGAGGAGGAGCATTTGTCTGTCAGGCTCCTTTGCGGTTCCCACATCCTGTGCTGGGAATTGTGGGAACCGCAGGGAGCATGACAGACACATGCTCCTCCTCCTTCTTCTTCTTCAGCGTTATTGAGAGGAATGCCGCCGGACCGGCGAGGCTGCCACCCGGTCCGGCGGCTGCAGCATCAAACGGCCGGCCCCCCCTCACAGTGTGCCACCGGACCGGCCACCCGGTGGCACCTGCAGTCCCCAAATGCCGCCCCAAATCCAGCCCTGCCGCCGGGCCCCCTGAAGGCAGCCCTGGCGGCGGGCCCCCCCTCCCGGCCGGGCCCTCGGACCGTGTCCGAAGTGCCCGACCGGTCAGTCCGGCGGCTGCAGCATCAAACGGCCGCCCCCCTCTGACTTTAGTAAGAGGGGAGATGGGGAGGGAGAACAGGAGAGAGATGGAGGGAGAACAGGGGAGATGGAGGAGGGGAGATGGGGAGGGGAGAAACAGGGGAGAGGGGGAGAGATGGGGAGGGGGAGAGAGAGTATATTGGGAGGGGGAGAAACAGGGGAGAGAGATGGGAGGGGGGAAGAGATGGGGAGGAGAAAGAGGCGGACAGAGAGATGGGAGGAGAAACAGGGGAGATGGGAGGGGAGAGATGGGGAGGGGGGAGAAAGAGGGTGGGACAGAGATGGGGAGGGGGGAGAAAGAGGGAGAGATGGGAGGGGGAGAAAGATGGGGCAATAGAGAGATGGGAGGGGGAGAAAGATGGGGCAATAGAGAGGATGGGGAGGGGGGAGAAAGATGGGGCAATAGGAGAGATGGGAGGGGGAGAAAGACGGGACAGAGAGAGATGGGAGGGGGAGAAAGAGGGGGAATAGTGAGATGGGGAGAGGGGACATAGAGATGGGGAAGGGGGAGAAAGGGGGGGCAATAAAGAGATGGGGAGAAAGAGAGGGAAGAATGAGACACAGGGGGAGACAGAGACAGAGAGGGAAGAATGAGACACGGGGAGAAAGAGGGGGAATAGAGAGATGGGGAGGGGGAGAAAGAGACAGAGAGGGAAGAATGAGACACAGGGGGAATAGAGAGATGGGGAGAGGGAAGAATGAGACACGGGGAGAAAGAGGGAGAATAGAGGGAGGGGGAGAAAGAGACAGAGAGGGAAGAATGAGACACGGGGAGAAAGAGGAGGAATAGAGAGTTGGGGGAGGGGGGAGAAAGAGAGGGAAGAATGCCCCGCCCTCCCCTGTCCGCAGGCACCGTGCGGGCAGGGGAGGAAGAGAGGACCTGGGAGATCACCCTGCAGCTCCTCTGGGTCCTTCTTGCGCGAGCACAGAGCGCTGCCGCGGTTACCATGGCAACGTTACTGCTCTTGCGAGAGTCAACTCTAGCCCTGGAGCTACGGGCTAGAGTTCACTCTCAACACTGTAACCCCATGGATTCCTGGTGGTCGCAGTGGTGAGAGTGAACTCTAGCCCCATAAACACACTGCCCCCACACACACACCATACACATTCACACACTGCCCCCATACACACCATACACATTTACACACATTGCCTCACACACACACATACACTGCCCACCCATATACACACAGACCCCCATACACAGCCCCCCATACACAGCCCCCCATACTAACATTGCCACACACATACACTGCCCACACACCCCACACATTCACACACTACACCCCCACACACACACTGAACCTTTCACACACATTGCACCACTGCTCCTATTCCCTACTACAGCCTCATATCCCAGCAGACCCCAGGTAAGTTGTCAAACTGTTCTTAAACGATTTGACTACTTACTCTGGAGCAGTAGTGGTTATTGTGCATGGATTATTTCTTTAAATAATCTACAAGTGCCCCAGTAGCCAGCCAGCCAACCCACAGGCTGGCCAGTAGCCAGCCAGTTAGCCAGCCCACAGGCCAGTAGCCAGCCCACAGGCCAGTAGCCAGCCCACAGGCCTACAGCAAGCCACAGGCTTACAGCCAGCAAGCCACAGCCTGCCAGCCGCAGCCTGCCAGCCGCAGTCAGCAAGCCCACAGCCTGCCGGCAGTAGCCAGCAAGCCCACAGCCTGCCAGCCGCAGCCAGTAAGCCCACAGACTGCCAGCCAGCAACAGTAATTAAGGTAAGAGGAGCCAACTTGGCTTAGGTATCAGCGAGCTATGTTGTGTTGCTATATTGTGAATAGGAACCAGAGTGTTGGAGAGACCACCCTCCAGGCCCCATTAGACTCTAGCCTCTGCTAGAAATCCCCTCCATGGCCCATTAGCCTCAATTGTAGTTTCTACTGGGGCCTGGAGGCGACTGTTTCCAGCAGGGGATATCTAATGGACGCTGAGATGGCCTCTGTTAGAAAGACCCCCTTCCAAGCCTTTTAGACTCCATTGTAGTCTCTAATGGGGCTTGGAGGGGATTCTATCTAACACACTCTCTAAAGGACACTGAGATAGCCTCCGCTAGAAAGACCCCCCTCCATGGCCCATTAGCCCTCAATTGTAGTCTCTACTGGGGCCTCGAAGGGCTTATTGCCCTTTTGTTCTTTGTGTCTAAAGATTGTGTAGGGTGTGGCTGGAGGCGGGACAAGGGTGGAGCTTGCTGCAGAGTATGGGTGGGGCCTGTAAGGGGGCCCTTGATTTATTTTGCCCGGGGGCCCTGAGGGTTCTCAGTCCGCCCCTGTTGACGGGTATGGAAATCTGATGGAGGCTGGGAGCATGGGAGTTAGGGTAAGTTATTTGTGAATGAGTGTTACATTCATTTACCTAACCCTAATTTTATCCTCACTTAACCCTAAATGTCACATGTGCCTGTACAACTAATCTATGTAACTGGATGTGACGTGGGATAGGGAAATCTTATTGGGTAAGGAAATGTGACAGAACACCAGACTTAGGGTTCTTCTAGCTGTGCGGCCGCACAGGGCACCATAGCAGCAGGGGCACCATGTGGCGAACACAGCTTACATTCTCCCAGAATGACAGGTGTGAGGGGGTGCATAGAGCACTTCTATAAAGCAGGCCACAGCTGCCTGGTAGCTTCTGCATACTAAGAGGGAAAAGCAGGAAGGAGTCACTGCTGTCCCAACTATTAGATCCAGGTATTGCAGTGCCCTGCTCCCCTCTCCAGCCAGTGCCTATAAGTTTACTGTTTTCCTGTATTTGTGTATCTATCTATAACATTGTGTGTGTGCATGTGTGTGTGTGACTGTCTGACTGTAACTGTGTGTCTGACAGTAACTGTGTGTCTGACTGTAACTGTGTAACTGTGTCTGTGTGTGTGACTGTATCTGTGGCTATATGTGACGGTCCACCTGTACCTGTGTGTGTTTGTCATTGTTTGTAACTGTGTGTGACTGCATGTAACTGTGTGTGAGTGTGAGTGTGAGCCTGGCTGCCTGTGCCTGTGTATGTGTCTGACTGCCTGTACTGGTGTGTGTATGACTGTCTGCCTGTAACTGTGGCTGTGACTATGTGCCTGGGACTGTGTGCATGTGGCTGTATTTGACAGTATATATGTATAACTGTGTGCATCTGACTGTGGGACTGTGTGCATGCAACTCTGCAAAAATATACACCTGAATTCATACATGGGCCTACATGCATATTTTTATCTGAATTAAATACACATCTGGAGTTCTGTGATAAAATGGTACACAGTAACACAGTTTAGGTAATAATAGGGAAGGAGAATGAATATTTGTTTTTAAATAATTATTAATTTAGGAAATCTATACAAACACAACACCCCTATACAGACACACTATACATAGGTGAAGGGATATAACCAGGGTTTACCAGGCATTATGAAGATGTTTGCACAGGGTGCCTAACAGCATAAGGCCACCTCTGTCTCCCCCAGTAGTGTTCCTTCATACTTTCTCTTTCCCTGCCCCCATAGATTATTCCTCCATATTGTCTCCCCCCTCCCCAATATTGAATTCCCCATACTGTGTTCCCAGTGCCAGCATATTGTTTCCCCAGCAGTATCTCTGCTTTCCCTCTATAATATCTCTCTGATTCAATTTTCTCTCCCTCTGCCCCATCATAGTTAGGAAACATTGCAGGGGGGCAATTCATATTCTGGGCTTGCACATATATCACAATATGCTGGCCTCTTAGCATCTAGAAGGTATATTAAAAAGAAAGAAGTCAAATTACCTTTACTGGGGTGATATGCCCACCATATAAACCTGTCCGATGATTGCAGCAGTTAGTTATATTATACATATATCCAGGGATGTTTATGTTTTACACAGTATTATTAATAGGACTGTACAATATGGAAAGATGTAACCATGTAAAAAAATATTTTATTCCATGGGTCTATGATACTGTATAAAACTTCAATTTCTCTTAAGTGTATTTCAATTCAGATTTCTTTGTTTTAAAAGTACTGCTAATAATTTTATAACAAATATTCCAAATTATAATTAACACAAAGAATACACTTATATATTTTTGCAGCTATGTTAAAGGAGAATTCATTTTCTATTTAAAATTAAAATATGTAGTAAATTTGATTCTTTCATAGACAAATAACATCATATTTTCATTGTAATATATCACCTCCAATGAGAAGTGCACTTTGTTTATTATGACATATTTCTTTGTATATTAGTTTATTCCTTAAACTCCAAATTGGAGTGCATTAAAAAGTAAATTACAACATTTAAGCTAAAATAGCAAAAAAGGGAAAATGTACTACTATAGTCAGAGATTGTCTTTTGTAGTCTTAATCTTACCATTGGATTTTAATACTCCACAGGATGGAGTTTAGTAAATACACTATAAATCACTATATCACAGAGAAAATATTTGCTAAGTGATAAAATAGATTAATGCATCCTACCTTACACAGCTTATTCTGGCTAGTCCGCTGTAGCTTTTGTTTTCATGCACTGGTCCAGGCTGTTTTAAATGAAGAATCAAGAGAGACCACAGACAAAAGAAGAAGCGGTATACCAGTCTCCAACAATAACATAAATTCTGCTAAATGCATATTGAAAAGGAAGTGAATGTGAAATGAAGTTTGAAACAGCTGTTTAAAAATGGACAGAATTACCCTAACAGTTTGAAGAAAAAAAAAAGGGGGTTATAACAGTAAACATTTAGAAGAAAAAATAGAAGAAAACGCACAACAAGAAAGATCCCTTTTATTAAAATACAAAAACAGAGTAAATTGGGAGGAAGAAAAAAATTAAATCCCCTACATTTTTAGCTATTCCAGTAATGCAAGTTTTTTAAAAAGGATAAAAAACAAAAATGGCATGTTTTAAAGCAGGAAGAAAGTATTCAGGAATATTTAGGGAATAAACCCAAAATAATTTTTAGAGGAGCTAGAAATCTAAAACAAACTTTAACTCAGAGTTTCGTTCAGAAAAAACACTTTGAATAATGTTTTAACAGACTGGACAGAAATACAAAAGGGCTTTCCCCACTGTGGAATGTGCAATGCATGCAAAAACACTAAGATCTCTATAAAGAGTGTTAAAGAGTTTAAATCATTCGTAACTGACAAGGTATATGAGATTAAAATTCCTATTACCTGCTATACGAAAAACGTCATTTATTTATTAAAATGCTCTTGTGGTTATCAATACATAGGAAAGACATCCAGAGCATAAAGAATTAGAATAAATGAATACATTAGAAACATTAAAACAGGATATGTTAACCACAGTGTGTCAAAGCACTTTTTAGAGAAACTTGAGAGTTGCATTGGAGAGGGGGGAATGTTGCCAAGAGTAAACAGGAAATAAAATGGATATTTGAATTCTAGTTCCTAAAGGTTTAAATATAGATTTTGAAATTAATACCATTTTATAAATCATAAGATTTTAACTATTGATTTTTTATATAGTGATATAAAAACTCTTAGCATACATCTTCCTTTTTATTCCTGATTCCTAACCCCCTTTTTACAATGTCGTTTTATATAATATGTTTTTATTACTAATTTTTATATGTTTGGTTTTGTAATATTATCAAATGTTTTATTGGTTATTTATTATTACAATAGTTTTCACCCTCCTTTTTAATTTCCTACTTTGGGACTTTTTTGTCCTCTTTATGCTTATCTCCATCATGGTGCCCTGCTATAAGAACATGTGAATGCCCGGAAAAAGACTTCAAAATCTCTGAGGTACTTTTTGTTTTGGAACGCTTTATATTGGTCCCGCTGACGGAGGAGACGTTGGGTGGGATCGAAAGACGTAAGAATGATACGGACCGCCATCTTACTCTCCTATGATAGGAGAGAGAGGTCAAAACTATATGAAGTGACGTCAAGTGGAATGACGGCAGCAGAAGTACGTCAGAGGAAGTGACGTATCGGCTACATCAACGATATGTGGAAACCGATTGAAAAATTAATTGATAGCCATGTTTAAGGAGGGTATTTGAGTCAAAACCGGGTGTGTCACCATATTGGAGATGGCAATTTTGCATCCGGTTCCGACCATATTTGGTGATGGGAGTGTAGACATTAATTAACACGTGTGTCTTATTAAACTTGTTATAATAGATATATATAATAGTACTTGTGCCAGTTAAGAGTATACTGCACCTGAGGAAGACCTTATATAGGTTGAAGTGTGTTGTACTTGATTTTATGTTTATAATTTTATTTGATAAATACCAATAAAGACTTATATACCTTTACTGGTTGATTCCTGACTTCTGTGGCTGGTGACCAGGATCGTGGTAATCCAGAGGAGCTGCCATAACATCTGGCTAGCCAGATATCCCCTTGTGTAGATGAAAATCTTTTACAGTCCGGAGCCAACTTATAAAGGGCTCTGTAAAGTGTGAGTTCTCCAATTTACTTCACCTTTTTGTATTTCCATACATACAGATTACACTATGTTGTTTTATTTGCTTATTTTATACAGGGTTTACCTATAAATGTATCCTGTTTAAAGATATATTTAATAAAGATAAAGGTAATCTGAGTGCTCTACCACCTTTCTCTCTATTTTATATAGAAGTACCCTAATGTATCACAAACAACAGAGCATCCACCCTTATGATTAGAACACTGTTTTGAAAAGTTCTAATTTTATAATATGTAGGTCTTCAAGATTCTGTGCATGGAGCTATATTTTGATGCCAAATTTTCAAAGCCCCTAAAATAAATCCTTACTGGATTCTGCTTAGATTTACTATATTAGGGAATTAATAAAATAATAAAATCATTAATGCTTGGAAGTAAGAATAAAAACCCACTACTCGTTCCCAAGCAGGGTAAATCGAATATGTGATGAGCAGTATGTAGGAACTGTGGTATGTTACAAATTGGTGCCTTAAAGAGTGGGAGGCACATATACAAACTGTTGTAATTCCTACACCGTTTACCTGATTTGGATGTAAATACCCTCAAACGAAAGCTGAAAGTCTACAGTTAAAGCACATCTTGTTTGTTTCATTTCAGAATTGTGTCGATGTCCCAATATTTATGGATCTGACTGTATATACACAGAAACACACACCTTGCATCCCTTACACATACAAACACAGATTCACACAATGCATTCCTTACACACAAACATACACTGCATCCCCTATACACACACACTACATCCCTTACACAAACTGGTATCCCTATACACTACATTCCATAAGAACACATACACAGAAACACACAATGCATCCATATACACACAGAAACACACCATGCTTCCCTTACACACAGAGAAATACACAATGCATCCATTACACACACACACAATGTATCCCTTACACACAAACATACACTGCATCACATATACACACACACTACATCCCTTACACAAACTGGTATCCCTATACACTACATTCCATAAGAACACATACACAGACACACACAATGCATCCCTTACACACAGAAACACACAATGCATCCCTAACACACACTGAAACACAATGCATCTCTTACACACACTCAATGCACCCCTTACAGACACACACACTGCATCCCTTACATACACAGAAACACACCTGGCATCCCTTACACATACAAACACAGATTCACACGATGCAACCATTACACACATCCAGAAACACACAATAGATCTCTTATACACAAACACACACTGCTTTCTATCCCAGCCTTATGTGCATACTCACAGTCAGGCCCTGGGGTCCAGACCTTGAGCTGTGTAAAGCGCCCCAAAAAAGGGAGCTGCTTCCCGTTCTCCCAGAACATTGATTATTGTGACCACAGTTACAAACAGCCTCCAGAGAGCCTGTTCTACACCAGACCAGTGGAGCCAAACTGCAGCCAGAGTCCATCACCATCCTCATCTGGTTGTAAGTAGGCAATGTAGTATATTATTCGTGGCACTAATCTCTAATTTACCTCACATTAAAGGGACACTATAGTCCCCAGAACCACTGCAGCTTAATGTAGTGGTTCTGGTATCTATAGCCAGTCCCTGCAGGCTTTTTAATGTAAACACACACTGTGTGCAGCACTGGCGTAAGTTCATATGGCAGATCATATGGGTGGGGCATTGTGATGTCACGGGGAGGGGCAAACTTTTATTTTGCCTAGGGCGGCAAAAATCATTGCACAAGCCCTGTACACACAGTGACAAATACACAATGATACAGATACACACAGGCACATACACACAGATACACACACACACACCTTAACACACAGATATACCCACACACTGAAAGATACACACTCTGACACTCAGATAAACACAGTGACACACAGTGTCCAATACACACACTAGCGCATACACTCAGATACACACTGACACAGATACACACAGTGGCACATACACACTCAGATACACACAGTGATGCATGCACTGACACACAGATAGACATAGTGACACATTAATACACACAGTGACACATACACACAGTTACACAGATACACAAACACTGCCAGATACACACACACTGTCAAATACATAAAGATCATTTTTTTATATTTGCAGTCACCCTCTTATTAGCATACCCAAGGAGGGTAAGTTGTTGGCTGAGGCTGGTGTGTGTGGAGAGAGCTGCTCACTCCCGGCTACTGCCTCTCTCCCTCCAGCGCGGAACCCCGCAGAACACCAATTGGGTAACGTTGCTATAAACACCAGAGCTACTACGTTAAGTTGCAGTGGTTCTGGTGACTATAGTGTCCCTGCGTACATAAGTTAAACAGTAGATTATTTTATTATCAGGGATCGGTATTTCTAAATGTACATGGCTCACTCTTTACATGAAAAAAAAGCTGCTAAACAAATGTCACTTGTGAGAAAATCCTTAAAATGATGGTGCTTAGAGAAAATAACATCAGCACAAATATATGAAACTAAAGGGGTGTATCATTATTCTAGAAATATAAAAAAAAATTAAAAAATTTAAAATTCCACATTCTTAGCTTGATTTTTAGTTTCTTAACTTCTGACACAAATTTTTTTGTAGACTACTTTTTTTTTATTTTTTATAAATGCACAAATTGTACTGTACTAACAACCACCCCCTCCAACCAGCATAGACATGAGCACAAATGCATTGAATAAAATGGCTGTGTCATTATTCTTAAAAAAAACTTTTGACACAAAAATGTTTTATTTTCCAGATTACTTTTTATTTCTTTTTAAAACAATGCACAGACTGTACTGTACTAACCTCCCACCCCCTCTCCAACCAACCACCCACCCCTTCCACCCCACAAACAAGTAAGAGCTCACCGTATAGAATTGTATGATTAATCTGTATGATGACTAGCTGCACAGATATGAGTAGCTGTGTGCTACCAGTGCGCCATTACATGATCACTGAATGCTGGGACAATTTACTGCCACCCATACAGAGTATAATACTGGCACATTGACAGATTAGACATGACACATTGATTGATTAGACATGGCACATTGACTGTTTAGACATGGCACATTGATTGGTTAGACATG